AAATTATTCTGAGAGTCAGTAAGAAGAGTGAGAGTGTACACATTGAAAAATATAATTTATTAAGTCTATATAACATCTTCTTGAAATGAGAAGAGCTGATAATAAAAGTAGAGACAGTAAAACCAGAAGTAGCAGAAGTAAGAATCACAGAAACAGAGATAGCAGAAGCAGGAGAATCAAACACAGAGACAGGTGTAGAAGATTGAGAGAGAGTAACAGAGAAAGAAACAGAGAGAGTAAGAGAAAATGCAGAAGACTCAGCTATATATAACACAGACAATTTCTTCATTATTATGTTCTTCAAGTTCTCAATCAATAATTCAATATTGAGTTCACTATCATCAGCAGATACAGATCTGTCAACATATGAAGATTCTATATAAATTACAAACTAAACATATCCACATCTGCATTTATATAAAATTATGTCAGAAAATATGATCAGAAGATCCGGCTGAGAAGACAAATAGTTAAGAAGTGTATAAAGAAGATGAAAGACAGATATGTTAATTAATAAATAGTATATTCTGAATAAATTGTTTAGAAGATAAACAAGTTCTGATCAATATTTCACAATGTATTACACTTTCTGCTAAATGAACTGTCTAATATAAGCACTATGAGAATGCTTGTTATGAGAATGAGAGATCATTTATCAGAAACACATATAATATGATAGATAAACAGATGAAAAGAGTTGAATAGAAGAAGAGATAGAAATCTTGAATAAGATAGTGACATTCAATAATGATAATGATGAAGAAGATGATTGAAGAATAAGAAAAGTTAGTGAATAAGTGATATAATATAGTGAAAGTTTCTTTGTGAGAATGTATATAGAATACTAACTGAATCAGAAATAGGTTACAAGATCACAAACACTAGTAGCACACTAATCTGCATGAAGCTAGAGTGAATGTTATAATCATGTGAGCGTGACTGAATCTGATGAGAGAGAATGTGATTTGAAAGAATGTACAACTGTTGATGTGATTCAGAAGAATGTATGACTGTCAGATAATAATATGACCACTTCCAAACTTGCTTACAAATGTAAGGGGGCTATAGCGGCCACTAATTAATTTAGCGTACAATATATAAGAAGCCGGCGTACGCCTGTAATTGTACGCTAGCTCAAGCAATCTTTGAATCACATATCTATTTAATGTGTCTATCTTTAAGACTGTGTTCTCTTTTCCTTTGTCATGATATTGTCAAATGATTTCAAAGTATCAGAAGATGTTAAAACACTGTAATTTGTAAACAGTTTTTATATTCTGAGCTGGAATTTTCTGATTTTACATATCTGAAATTGATGAATGTATAATAGTTAACTTTACAGATATAGGAAAAACTCTGAGAACTAAAAGTTCTCAGGTAGATGTTATAGTCTCTGACTGCATACATCTATAATTGAAGAATAATAATAATAATAATAATGAATACTGTTGCCAAGGTATCTTTTTGTATTATTCTGCCAGAGATGAGTCAGATTGAGAGAAGTAGTATAAGAGTAAGACTTGACGTTGATGTCTAGATACACTGAAGACAGATCACGGAGATTGTACTTCAGAAGTGTCAGCTCAGAAGTAATAGATAAAATACTATAATTAAAAATATCTTTCAATGAAGTTTTTAATAGAGAATTAAATACTATTTTTAGCAAAGAATATTAAGATAATAAGACTGTATAAGAAGCTCAGTGAGTAATAACTAGAATCTTTCTCAGTAATAAGAGTGATAAGTAAGTAGATATATAAGATAAAATTACTCTCAGAATTGAAATCAATTCATTTTATTTTTCACATTTTCTATTTAAAACTCTATAAGTAATATCTCAGAGTGAAGCTGTCTCAGTTAAATAATATTAAAATTAAGAGTGATACTGAATATCTTATAAAGAAAATATTAAATAAGTGAATATATTATAGTAAGCTTCAATATCTTATTAAATAAGAAGATTATTTATTATTAGAGAATTTATGAGAATCACTTAAGTATTTGAAAAATACTGAGAAAGAGATTATAAGCTATAAAGCAGCTAGTAGAGATTACTCTGTTATATATCAGAGATATTAAGTAAGAAATACTGCTTAAAACTTCTTATTTTTTTCAAAGAGTTTTTTAGAGATAATCTTATAGTAATAAGTCAGTGTCTTATAAACTTTATAACACTTTTCTTCTATTTTCTCTCAAAGAGTTTTTAGAAGTTTAATAAGACTATATAAGTATAAAATTCCTGAAGTAATTAGAGAAAAGAGATATTTAAAATTAATAAAAAGATTAATATTATAAATCTGTGAGCTGCTGCTATTCTAATAAGACTGCAGTCTGCTGAAAAAGTAAAAAGAGAGATCAGACTCTACTTATTAATAATTATATTCTTATTAAACTTATTCTTTATTATTAAAGTCTCTGACACTGATATTTTTATCTACTGAGAAGTTAGTACTGCAGTACTATAGAGAAGCATGCTATAGAAGAGTATAAAAGATACTTAAAGTATTAACTTATTAATTTATAAAGTATCTTAGTTATCTGCTTTAATTAAAGTGAGATTCTCTTTAATCAGTGATTAATCTTTATAATACTTTTAACAGTGATACTGACTAACTTCTTCTTAAGATTAGTTATTCTAAGATGTTTTTTTATCTTAGAGACTTATATTTTCATCTTCTTTTATAAATGAGTAAGAGAGATCTTTTCAATCTTGATAAAATTTATTAATACTTAAAGCTCTGAGACTCTTACTCTGTACTACTTAAGTATCTGAACTTCTTATCAGAACTGATATGACATCTTCTTATAGAGTAGATAATACTTATAGAGAGATAGAAGTTATTATTATAAATATAATAAAAATAATAGAAGTAAGAGAAGAAATAGATATATAAAATTCTCTCTTTCTTCAGCTGTTTAGTACAGTGCAGATAAGTAATAGTACTAGTTAGAAACTATATCAGAGTCTTCTTATAGAGAGAAGATAAAGAAACTACAGAACTCTGCAGACTTAACTCAGTAGTATTCTAAGTAGAACTCAGATATATTATAAGAGAGAAACTATAGATTAAGCTTCTCAGAGTTACTATCTTTAAAATCAAGCTCTCTCTAAGATTCTCTCTGAATAATTATACAGAGTAATATATTACTATATTAACTGAGAGAAGAGACAGTGTTACAACAGTAGTAAGAGAAATAGAGAAAGAACTGAATACAGATAAACTAACTGATAGAAAAGATAATATCTTACTATAAAATACAGTAACTATTATCACAGCTGTAAGAGAAGTAGAAGAAGAAGAAGAAGATATAATAATGAAAGCAGTACTTCTGTAATTTATTAATACTACTGTTTTCATCTTCAACTAAGCTTTCTTAGCAGTTACAGAGATCACAGCTGTATTATAAAGATATTTATTACTCACTAGAAAATATCAGAATAAGTCTCTTATTATCTCTTAAGAATGATACTCTTATACACTCACTATTACAGATGAAGAGAGAGAGAAGAAAAATGTTTTATAAGAGAGAGAATCTTTTCAAAAAATCCTGTTATTACTGTTAACTTTATCTCTAAAATATATTACTTTTATAGAGAATTTCATATATAAAATAAAATATAATAAGTGATCTGTAAGTCACTTATTAACTATATTTTTCATATTTTAAATCAATATATAAGAAACTCACTTATCATGTGTTTGATTTGAATGAAGATAAAAAAAGAAAGATTTATACAGTCAGCTGAAAAACTCATCTATTTCTTTATACTATACACAGTATATATACTATCAATTGATTGATAACTATTGCTATATAACAAAGATAATTTCTAATTCAGTAATCTTAAGAGTATTAAGACTATACTTTTAAAGAGAAGAGTATTATTATATCTCTGATTATATCAAGACTCTACTACAGTTTTATATAGCTTATTACTTTTAGACAGATAATTTCATTTATTTCACAGACTATTTAAACTGATTTTCAATCACTCTATAATATTATTCAGATATATTATAGAAAGATCTGATTAATAAATATAAGAATTCTACTTCTATATAAGATCAGCAGATTACTCTTTCTTAATAATAAGATATCACTGAGATATCACTTCAGCTATTCTCACTCATGAAATGAGAGAAGAATATTCACTTATTATCTATATAGAATAGCTAGATACTGACTTCTTATCAAAGAAGTCAGTAATTCATTTTTCTTTTATTAAAAGATATATAAGAGTTACTACATTTCTTATACAATCTTCTTAGTATACTAAGTATCATATCTGTGATATCCTTGCAATAACCCTGTAGTCTACAAGCTTGCTATTCAAGCAAGATAGTCAAGCCCACTCATACAGCTTCTCAGCAACTATCCCTATGTGACGCCGCTGACTAGCCACCGCTTCGGTTCCGCCACGTTACATTATTACTGTATTGTGCGAGGTCGGGGTCATGATTATGTAATGAGGTCAAGTGGCGCACTTAGCGAGGTCAAGTTTTCTGTATACACGAGTTGAGATCCCGATCCCGCCTTGGCCTCTCTCCCAGTCGCTTCAATCCCTAAGGGCTGACAACATGATTCAAAAACAACAAAAAAGGACCAGACCACAGTTAAAATGTGATGGACTGCCTTCTGGCCAACCAAACTCCCGTTTGATCGACAGAAAATCCATATCCATGCTTCTATCAAAATAGTCCAAAAACTTTCCGCTACTAACGACCCCAAATCCACACCCCGTGAAATTCAGACGGGGAGATTTTTTTCCCCATATCCCTTTATCAACCCACCCCAGGTTTCAGCGCCCTACTGGAGTTTCGCAGCTGGATATATATAGTTATATCTACACAACTACCCTAGAAAGGGGGGATCCATCCCCGACGACCTCAGGCAGTCGTGTTTCACTCCTTTGTTATTCTGCCCCACCGTGGCTTACAAACTTCACTGCCAGGAAGCGTCTGTTCGGGTGGTTTGAAGCGTTGATAGAATACTTCAATATGGAGGGCCTTCCACCGCCGTCCAAGGCACCGCCATTCCCTATCGTGACAGCTGATCAGAGGTCAGTTCTGGGCGTAGCAACTGCGTACAGTATCATTCCAACGCTGGAAGTTTCTCTGCGCATACTTGCTCGAAACGTTGCGAGGAGATCGCTCGAAGCAATTGACTATTGTATCATTGCCGCATGTGTGAATCTAGGGTCTGATTATTTGTCCTGATAGCTGTCATCATATATCCTCCGCTAACTCTATGGCAGATATTTGCAGTGGCGTTGGAATCCGTCAGTATCACAGGTAGGTGTGCCCAGACCCACCGCCCCTACAGCACCCGTACATCCATACCTGATCTTTAACGTATCGGGCAGCAACTCGAGCAGTCACTTGCTGACCAACACGCACCGTATAGGCGTTATCCAAGGTGGAATTGGATGTGGACACACGATACAGGTCATCCAGGAATCCGGACCGGAACCCGCAATCAAGCTTCTGAAGGTAAATAATCCTTGGAGAAGCGTATCGTCTCCTGAAACACCATTCATATCGACAAGCACTAGAAGAATATTTAGCTAACACATCCGATCCAGCTTCTCATCCCTCTTCAATTCCTCTGGGTTCTCAGCCTAAGCTTCTGCAAAGTGTCTATCCTCCTGCTATACTCAAGGGTATTCCCTGTCGCTCCCGTTATCTAGATAGGAAGAGGAGCTATGGTATTCATCGCTGCATGGGCAATCGCGACCATTATTGCGGGCTGCACCATTTGCCGTCTCTTCGCGTACAATTGGGACCAGTCAATCCCTGGCGGGGAGTGCGGTGACCAGGTCCTCTCATTCACCATCACTGGTGTGTCTTCAACCTCGTCCCTGACGTGTTGGTTGCTGTGCCTCCCCTTACCGTACCTGGCTAAACTGCAGATGCAGCTGTACAAAAAAGTGATCCTGATTGGCGTATTCAGCATTGGTCTTCTGTATGCCTTCCCGCCCCTCCCCCCCTCGATATTTTTTTGGCCTCTCGGTCTACCCAACTGAATCAAAATATATATATTTCCCTCCTCCCCCCCCCCCCCCCACCCCTCCCCCCTTGTTACTAACCACTCGATTAAATCCCACAGAACCTACGTCGTCAGTACCGTCCGCATACACACCCTCTCCTCCATGGATTTCAAAGACATCACCGTCTCAATTCCCCCAGCAAAACATTTTCTCCGGCCTCGAACCCAGCGTAGCCGTAACCCTATCCTGCATTCCGCTCCTACGGCCCCTACTAAACCGCTCCAAGTACGGCTCTGATGGCACACCCGGGTATCCTGCCATCAAACACCACCGGCGCGTCGAAAAGCAGCGGACCCAGCGGTGGCCGTGGCTTCGAGCAGTTGAATGACGACAGCTTGCAGAATCAGCTGAGGCCGGTTGCTGGCAAGCATTTCGCGGCGGTGAGTACAGCGAAGAAGCCCGCGTCTAGTCGGCTTGACAGGAGCGATTTGGAGAGTAGCGAGGCGGTCGGTATTACCGTTCAAGAACATTGGCATGTGGGCACTGAGAGATGTTGAGGTTTGTTGGGGGTTTGGGTTGGGTTGGGTTGTGTGTTTTAGCAAGTCAAAAACAAAACGATCATAAGATATAGAAAAAGGGTGCAACAGGATAGATATGATTATGAATTACCCCATTCTCCGATGTCCTCTTATGGGTGGGATTGTATTGGACGCAGCATTTACTTCTTTTTGTATTCTCAGTTTGAAATGATTAGAACGGCTTTTTCTATCTAACCTTTCTTCGTCCATGCGTATTTTTAATATGTATGATATAACTATTTACTATGTACGGGTTGCGCTTTTCTCCTCAGATCCAAGGACCCTTTCTACTTTCTAACCCACAGACCATCCCACTGTTTGGGGTTCTCCGGCTGGTTTAATCCACAGTATCGTATCGCAACTCAGCTGCAATGCATAATAAAACGGCACGCGGATATGATATCGCCCATTGGAGTTGGACAGTGCAGTGAGTAGCAGTTCTCCCTCTGACCGCTTCATCTGTCTAATAATTCCCCCCTTGCGGCGTCCTCTTCTGGAGTCTCTTGAGCTGGTTCCTGGTTGGTGCCATCGATGTCATCGCGCAGGGGCAAGCGGCATATGGCGGACTGAGAGGAGACCGTCCTTGCCAGTTAGGGCTTAGGGTTACTTGGCGCCGAGACGGGAAAACTGCTGAGTCATCCAGCTAGCCCTAATTTCCCGATTCGCCATTGGCTCGCTGCGTATAGCCTCGGACTGACTTCGACGGCAAGAAACCAAAAAAAGAGAACAAAAACCATTTCATGATGTCAGTCAACTTGAATTCTATCCGAAGCAAGGGAAATCGCCGGAACTTCGAAAAAGAATGGGGGGAAATTTTATGTATTTTACCTTTGCCGCCTTTATATATAAATGCTCAGCCGCCACCCTCCCAATTATTTTCCTGTCAGGAGAAAAGAGGAAGACGTCTTCCCTTTCTTTCATGTTGTCATAGATGAACAACTCGACTTCAGCTTTCTCTTATGTATCTATCAAAGATCAATAGACCCTAGACTACGTCTCTACCCGGCATTAACATCAACCAAGTAAAGCCAAGCAAGAATCGCAATACGCCTCTCCTTGCCTCTCTCTCTTCAACTGTTCTGATTCTCCACTGTTGAGCATTGAACTCATTCAACAAGCCCGCCCTCGTCTACGGATCTCGAAAACCTGTTCAACACGAGTCCAATTAATAATAGAATAAACGCCGAATTGGAAAACTAGACCCAACGGTAAAAAAGAAAGAAAGAAAGAAAGAAAGAAGAAAGAAAGAAAACAAAATGGCAACCACAGTTACAGATTCTATTTCCGCAGCTGATGTCGATAGCTACGACTATGTCATCGTCGGCGGAGGAACAGCTGGCTGTGTCATCGCCAGCAGGCTGGCGGAATACCTCCCTCGAATGAGGATCCTCGTTATCGAGGCTGGTCCCAGCGACTACCAGGACGACAGAATCCTCCTGCTCAAGGACTGGCTCAGCTTGCTCGGCGACCAGGAGTTTGATTACGACTATGGAACTGTAGAACAACCGATGGGTAAGTTCTATTTCTGGCCCCCGCTGCTGCTGCTACGCAGTCCAGCGATTTTGCCCGCATTTACACCCCCAGATTCAGATTGCGATCAAGATTATGTCTTGAAGAACCCCTTTTTCTTACCCCCCCTTCCCCTGTATTTGGTTTGTCCACTCCATTAGTGGCGCCCCCTCTCTTTTTCTCAACGAGTATTGTACAGTGCTTACATTGGTATTCCGCTTACCTTTTTCCGTTTCGTTTTCTGTAGGAAATAGCTATATCCGCCATTCCCGCGCCAAGGTGCTTGGTGGCTGCTCCAGCCATAATACCCTTATCTCGTTCCGGACTTTTGAGTATGATTGCAAGCTTTGGGAAAGTATGGGTTGCAAAGGCTGGAACTTCGAAACCTTCACTCGCCTTGCGGATAACCTGCGGAACACCATCCAGCCCGTCCATCTCCGGCACCGCAACCAACTTTGCAAGGATTGGGTAGAATCTTGCTCCACCGCTCTGGGTATCCCGGTGATCGAAGACTTCAACAAGGAAATTCGTGAAAAGGGCAAATTGACGGAGTGTGTCGGCTTCTTCTCCATCTCATACAACCCTGAGGATGGCCGCAGAAGCAGTGCGAGTGTTGCCTACATCCACCCCATCATCCGTGGAGACGAGAAACGTCCCAATTTGACCGTCTTGACGAACGCTTGGGTCTCGCGCGTCAACGTTAAGGGTGATACCGTAACAGGAGTCAACGTGACACTCAAATCTGGGGAAAAACTCACCGTCAATGCCAAACGGGAGACCATCCTCTGTGCCGGCTCAGTCGATACCCCACGCCTACTTCTAATATCCGGCATTGGCCCCAAGGAACAACTCGCCCCCCTGTCCATCCCCGTCGTCAAGGATATCCCAGGCGTCGGTGAAAACCTCCTCGACCACCCAGAAACAATCATCATCTGGGAACTCAACCAACCCGTACCCCCTAACCAAACCACCATGGACTCCGATGCAGGCATCTTCCTCCGCCGCGAGGCCCCCAACGCGGCCGGTTTCGACGGCGACGCCGCAGATGTAATGATGCACTGCTACCAAATCCCCTTCTGTGTCAACACCGCCCGACTCGGCTACGACGTCCCCATGAACGCCTTCTGCATGACCCCGAACATCCCTCGCCCCCGCTCCCGCGGCCGCCTCTACCTCACCTCCGCCGACCCAGCCGTGAAACCTGCCCTAGATTTCCGCTACTTCACCGACCCAGAAGGCTACGACGCCGCCACGATCGTCGCCGGCTTCAAAGCCGCCCGCAAAATCGCGCAGCAATCCCCCTTCAAAGATTGGATTAAGCGCGAAGTCGCGCCGGGGCCTGACCTCACGACCGACGAGGAGTTGAGCGAGTATGGACGACGGGCAGCGCATACCGTCTACCATCCGGCGGGCACGACGAAGATGGGCGATGTGGTGAATGATCCGTATGCGGTCGTTGATCCAGAATTGAAGGTTAGGGGATTGAGAAAGGTTCGTATTGCGGATGCGGGCGTGTTCCCTACTATGCCTACTGTTAACCCGATGGTAACGGTGTTGACGATTGCGGAGCGGGCGGCCGAACTTATTGCTGAGGAAGCCGGATGGAGAAGGGAGGCGCCTAAACTGTGATTATTTTTCATTTTATTTCTTTTTTACCTAATAAGTAATATATGTGTATTTTTGGCCATTTTTTTTGGTCATGTTTACCTCTTGATATCTACATCTGGGCACCATGATGTTTCATTTTCGGGTATCTGATCGGATCTGGTCTGGTCCTGGTGTGGGCGGATATTTCGCTTTTACTGATTTATCTATACTAACTTTTACAAAATTATGTGCTGGATACTCACATTATTTTGGGTTTACTGCCAGATAGGAAATTTAAAAGTGATAAAAGAAGTTTATTCGCTGGCTTCATTGATATATTATACGGTGATTTCGTTTTATTCTGTTGACACACCCCAACCTCAGGGGAATGAACCTGCGTCCCAGCCTTTCGATTACTGGATATTATCAGACATATATCGAGCAATAAAATCTGCTATCTGCTTACGACACTCCCAGAGAAAGGGGGCAGGGTAGCTCTGCTTTCACGGGTGGTTGGGCTGTTCTGTCCTACGTGAGGAACATGATTGTTTGCCCATCAGACCAGGGGCTGCCGAACACATCATTCGATTAACTAACTAGTTAGTTAGTTCACTTTGTTTTCTTCCCCTTCAATGCTCCTCACCTTCACGAAAGCTGATGGTGTCAAGTCAAGTCATAAACAAACTCCCTTTTCAACCACGCTTTTCCAACCAATTTAGCATCTCTTCCCGCATCTCTCCCTCGTCAGTGATGCTATGGCCTATTTAATTCTGACTTAGCCCTTAATTTCGTCCGTGAAACCATCCTCATCTACCTAGGTAATCTATAGACATGCTGTCAGACGTTTGGTTTCCACACCTGTCGGATATTGCCCGTCCAACCTCCCTCGCATGAACCTAGTGAACTCTTACCAAACCCCTAAACTTCAAGTAACGTTCCTTTTTTTTTCGCCAAATGAAGCTTCTTTTTTTAAAAAAAAAAATTGATAGGCAGGCAAGCAAGCAAAGCTAACACAAAATGCAGGTACATACAGAACCTGTGCAAAACACGCTATGCACAGCCAGCTCAATCGATAATACCACCGACCGGCACAGAGCCACAGTAACTCAAACTGGTTCGACTCAGTTTCCAAATTAACCACAATTATTGGTTCCTGCTGCTATCCTGAAACCAGTTGTTATTGTTATTATCGAACTCGATCTTGTGCTATCCATTCTACATTGCCTCTCTGTGTATCGCCCACCCTTCTCCTCCTCAAACAGCTCGGCGGGAACCTACAGTACTGGTAATGTACCTACCTGTGCACAGTACACAGCCGACACGGATGGTACAGTCAGTACCCCTGTGCACTTTGGGTATTTGCTTTGCTCCTATATCCTTATTCCCCATTCGGAAAGGGCTAGAAGAAGCCGGCGATCGAGATATCAATTATTTATTGTTTTTCGAATTGGGATTGACAATTTTGCACTACTCCAATTTTTGATTTCCATACAAGGCGTTTTTTGAACAAGGGAGGGCAGCGGCATGCATCGTTCTGTTTGTCTGCTCGAGATGATGGCTAGGTTGCACGCAACACGGCTCGTGGACACTTGACGGGAAAAGGGGGAGGTCTCAGGACGCTCTCTACCTCTACACGCACTCCTATCCAAGCAAGTTACGGCCATATGCTGTCAGGAGAAGCATCCATAGGGTGAGCGAGGGTGCGGAGAAATCTATATAAAGATGCTTCACCCGCCTCCCAAAACCTCGTTTCTTCTTCGTCTCCACCGCAAAGCAAAGCAAAAGCATCCTGTCCTTAACAGAACAAAAAAGAAAATATCCAAAAGATCTCACACTCTCATTATTCATTATCCTCATCACCTACAAATTTCCACTCCTTCAACCAACTTTATCCCTCCCTCCCAGTCTCGACAGGCCCCCCAAACAAACACAAAAAAATTCCACCGCAACCCCCAGCCAAACACTCAAGATGCAGCTCCAACTCTTCCTCTCCGCCTTCGCTTTCATCAGCACCGTGGTTAACGCCGTCGCGCTCCCACCCCACAGCGGTAGTGAAGTCGGCTCCCCACTGGCTGTCCGCTCGGGTGGCACGTCCGGCTGCAACTCCGTCCCCCAGTGCTGCCAGAGCCACAAGTCCAGCGACGACAAGACCGTCATCCAGGGCCTGAAGATCTTTGGTCTTGACAAGGAGGCGAAGAATGCGAAAGGTGGTGTTGCTACTCAATGTATGTTGTCTCTCTTAATTTCCCTTTTTTTCTCATTTCACAGGAGGGGGGCTCGGATACAGGCGGAAGAACCACTGACTGATGGGATGTTTCTGGTGAAAATTAGGCAAGCCGATAACGGGCGTCTTGAATCTCGACCTACTTAATGGCTGCAAGTCCAACGCCGTATGCTGCTCTGACAACAAGATGGTGAGCGTTTCCCTAGCACTATATGTTTGTATATATCCAAAACTAATCGAACACCCCCCCCCGGGGGGAACCAGAACGGCCTTATCTTCCTCGGATGCGTTCCCATCACGCTCAATGTATAGACGAGATCGCAACCCCCGCAGCCGGAAACAGGAAGCCCCAGGCTAGGAGAGACAGAGACGGAAGAAATTTCCATCACGCTGGATTCTTTTGTTTTCCCCTCTCTCTTTCCCCCGGCCTACGCCTTGCGCCTAGCGGCCCCGTTTTCCCATATGCGGACTCGATGTTGACGGACAATGGACCTGAATTGATTTGGTTATCTAGCTAACTCGACCTGGCCTTTTTTTGTTATTGAAATTTTTCACGAGATGCGAAGGGATAAACGTTTTTTGTGTGAGAAAGAGAGATCGTTTATATTTTTATATTGTTTTGTTGTTCTTTTTTTTTTTTTTTTAATTACGTTCCATTCGAGTGCGGCTGTCAAACGCCAACTTCATCCCTTCACACCCAACCACACCCCCTTCACCCTATTTTGTTCGTTAGCTTTTAATATCCGATGGGCCATCACTCGATGCCTTCGAACAAGGGGGCGTTGCTGTTAGGGCGGGGGACCACTTGGATGTTTGACAACTTTTTTTTTAAAAAAAAAAGAAAGAACTACTTAAGCTTTAGCTTTGCTATATTTTTATATTAGTTTATTTATAATTGTTACAGTTATTTAATTTTCGCCAAAAAAAAATATATCTGACTCTCTTTTCTTCTACTGAGGCTTCCTTTTCTGGCCGTCCAATGTACCATGTACCGTGCATAAGCGTGAATTAAAACGGAATCTGAACCCCGGATGATCTAGAGACGGGGGAACTGGGCAATACATAGGAAATATAAATATAATCAGGGGAGGCGGGTAGGATATAGAAAGTAGCTGCGAAATGAATGCTGATATCATCAGGCTTTGAGAAAGTAGGCCATGTGTTCGTGAGTAGAGAGCAACTTAGTAGGGGAGACTGTCCATGCATGCAACACAACACCCCACCAATGATGCTATCATGATATTTAACGGCCGAGTAGAGAAGAAGAAAGAAAGAAAGAAAAAAAAAAGAAGAAAAAAAAGGAGTTTCAAAGCCAGGAAATTCTTCACCATTCACCATTCCATGAATTAGAAATCAGGTGAATGCAAGTGTTGGAAGAATGCCATCATATATTATCTATATATATATATCAATACATCAAGCAGACAATTTGATTTACATAACAAGCATAATCAGCAAAAGTGTAATTGAAGTAAGAATCACAGAGTATATACACAGGCCGTGGAATTCCTGAGAGTATTTCTATTATTTTTTGTTTACTGCAGTTTTTATATCCGCGTGTTGGTGGGTTGAGCCTGGAAGGCATTCAAAATAAGGGGTAACATAATGAATAGCTTTGTAAGTCAAGATATTAAAAGAGTGGGTTTTCAAGTAAATCTGCTTTACTATACTCTGTAGATAAATATATATATATATATATATTTTGCTTCTCATGATAAAACACGCAATATAAACAAAAGGGGAAGTAAAAGGGGGTTCAAGGAAGGCAGAAAAAATGGTATTCAACTATATATGTAAAACGTACTGTACATGAATGAACTCGTTTTTATCTATAATATCTCTATCAAAAACTCTTTAGGGCACTTATTTTTCAATCTGTATATCAACTAATCATGGCAAAATATATATCTTCGCAGTGCAAAGAAGAAGAAAAGAAAAAAAAAAAGGGGGGGGGGGGAGAAAGATATCCCATGCGGATAGATCATGAAAGCAAACATAATGAAACAAGACAGAGCAGCAACTTCCCCGAGGAATATGCAGAGCCTGGTGGGAGGCTAACATCCAAAACCGCCCCCTCTCTCCCTCCCAGCTCTCCTCCTTTTCACCCCCTCGCATCCACATTCACACCTCCTCCCGCTCCCCATCCTTCTCCCGATCAAAAACCCTCACCCCAAACTTCCAAACCTGATCAACCGTCAACGACCCCTCCACATCCTCCCCCAAAACCACCAAATCCGCATCCGCCCCGGGCGTCAACACCCCCTTGACCCCATCCACCCCGAGCATGCGCGCCGGCGTCTCCGTCACCGCCCGCACCGCCTCCACCACCCCCGTGCCCGCCCACCTCCGAAAATTATTCACACACTCAATCAGCGTCGCCGAGGACCCCGCAATCTTCCCCTCCGCCGACCCTTCCAGCGTCAGCAGCGCGCCGCTCTTGACAATGCGCTCCCCGTTCGTCCACTCGTACACGCCGTCGGGCATGCCGCACAGCTTCATCGCGTCCGTCACCAGCACCATGCCCGCCGGGTGCGCGTGGTAGGCGATCTGGATGCTGGTCGGGTGCAGGTGGATGCCGTCGGCGATTAGGCCGTAGAAGGGGCGGGTGGCCTGCTGGGACTGCTTGCCCAGCAGGCCGAAGATGCCCGGGTGGCGGTGGTAGAAGGGCCGCATGGCGTTGAAGAGGTGGGTGATCATGGTTGCGCCGGCGGCGAGGGCGTCGAGGGCTTGTTCGTAGGTGGCGTCTGAGTGGCCGATGGAGAAGATTATGTTTTGGGCGGTGAGCGGGGGGATGAGGGAGTTCATGACGCCGACTTCGGGGGCGGCGGTGATCATTTTTATGTTTGGGCTTGGGTTGTTATTAGGATTATTGGTGGTGGCGATGGTGGTGGTGGTGGTTGAGACTGCGGAGGAGGCGGAGGCGGAGGCGGTTGTAGGGGTGGAGGCATCTTGGGGGATAAGGAGGTTTTCTTCGCCGTAGCAGTCTATTAAGTCCTGGAAGCCGTTGGTGGCGGCGAGGAGGACGCTGGAGGTGTGGATGCCATTTTTACCCGGGCTGAGGAAGGGCCCTTCGACGTGTGCGCCGAGAGATTCCGCTCCGTCCTCCGCGCGGCGGGATCCGCCAGAGGGGCCTAGGGATGGTAGGACCTGTGATTCATGATTTAGCTTCTGTTTCCCCCCCCCCCATTTATATAACATAGTAATCGTATAATATATAAATTCTCCCCCCCCCCCACCTCCTCTTTGCGTTTTAGCCTTGTTTTCGCCCATCCCATCCCATCCCACTACCATTTCCATTTCCATGTTTCAACATACCGTCTTATAAACCGCCGCCGCCTGACTCGTCACCGACGGCAAAAACGACGTAACCCCCATCCTCACCAGCGCCAGACACGCCTTCCTGAAACCCGCATCATACTTCTCCCTCGTCGCCTGCGGCACGGAGAAATCAAACCCCTTCGCGCCGTTGATCTGCACGTCGAGGAAGCCGGGGGCCAGGATGCGGCCGCCCAGGTCGACGGTCTGGTCCGGGCTGAGCTGGAACTCGTAGAAGGCCTGCTGGTCCTGGAGGATTTTGCCGGAGGCGGAATCGACCCAGAGATCCTGCTCGATGAGCTGGCCGTTGAGCGGGAGGCGGCAGTTTGTGAATTTAGTGATGCGCGGGGTTAGCGGGGAGCTGTCGGGGGTTTGGACTATGGAGGGCATGGTTGGGTTGGAGATGGGTTGTTTTTTTCTTTTTTTTTTTTTCTTTCTTTCTTTTTTCTTTCTTTTTCTTTTTCTGTAGGGTCAAGTCAGTTTGGCTCTTGATTGGGTTAGGATATATGTGTCTATCTATATCATGGAGGGGAGGATATTGGTTGATTTGATGAGTGGGTTTTGGTTAAATACACAGAAGAAACATTCTGGAAGTAAGTTATAGAAGGAATAAGGGGGGTGTGCATATAGAGAGAGAGAGAGAGAGAGAGAGAGAGACATACGATGTTGTTAATTATATTGTCTCCACGCCCACAGCCGTAAGTAGCAATATTCACTCTCACACTTATTAGTTACAGCTTCAATCGAAGACTAATAAATTTTATTTTATTTTATTTTATTATTGAATGGACAAAATGAAATAAAACGGCTGATCGCGGGCAGTGAAGCACCCCGAGCGGGAAAAGATGAACTATGACGGGGCGGAATTCAGGGGAAAAAAAAAAAAGGTTTATTAATTAACAAAGCCACAATAATTATTTATTAGTTACGAAGTTACGACAATTCATTCTTCCTTGTTCTATCTAATGGTTAGGTTATTAAGGGAAGAAAATAAAATAAAAAATAAAAGAAAATAAAAGAAAAAGAAAAAGATACCCTCGTGTTCTCCCCTTCCACTCACTCACTTCTTGCTCTGATACCGAAACTCTCTCCATCTACTACTACTACTACTACTTATTACCACTTACTATGTAACTATCTGGTGTGGGATCATCGTGGGTCACGGAGCGCAGCCGAGTTGCCCGAAGAGAAGAAGAAGAAGAAGAAGAAGAAGAAGAAGAAGGGAAGGGAGAACGAAACCAATAATCAGTAGAAAGGTGAGTGTGAGAGTGTACAGTACATGTACAGTCCAATGTAGCGATGCGATGCACTGGCGCGGCGATGTAGTTGTAACTAGTTGTAACTCCGTAGTGTGTCTTGCCCTTGTTCGGAGTTAGTTGGTGGTTCGTTAACTTATTATTTATTATTATTTTATTTTTCAACGGTCAAAAGGTCAAGCAAGGTCTTCCTTTCAACAGGGCAAACCAGCAAGAGAAGGTAAAATAATTTTTTCTATTCAATCAAATCTCCCTTTTCGCTTTTCTGATTCAACGATATTATTTATTTATTTGGAATGAATAGTTAACGATGATAACGATGACATCATCGCCCTAAATAAAGCTTCTCTCTGGCAAAACCTAATAAATAATACCGACGGTGACTGACACCGACACAGACACAAATAATGATACAGCTCCCGTACGTCCCGCTGTAACTTACGTCTGGTATCATAGATACGACAGGGACGGTCCCGTCATGACATTATAGTAAAATACGCCTCCTTTGATATCTTATTATTATCCGTATGGCTATGTATGGCTATGATCAAAGTGGATCCTTCAGCAGAGAATCCTCGCTGGAGATTTCTACTACTACTACGACGACGACGATGATGATGATGCGGCGATGGATGGATGGATGGATGGATGGATGGATGGATGGAAGGGAATATGGATGCACGGTCACTCTGATGCCCGCGAACTAACAGCGAACTAACAGCGGTCGGTGACACTCATGGCATGGGCATGGGCATGGCATGGCAACAGTGTAAGGGTCTAGAATTATTAGAATTATCATTAATATTGTTTTACCATTGCTGATGTTTATTATTGTTTGGTGGATCTATGATTTGATATCATTTGATTATTCAAGCTGACACCTGACACCTGACACCTGACACCTGACCTTGCTTTGAAATAAAAATGGGTGGTTTGCTTTGGTTTGCAATAGATGAGAAATAGTTATAGTAGGCGAAGGTGAAGTAAGAAAGTGATAGAAAGAGAAAGGGGGGGAGGAGGAGGAGAAGAGAGAGGTAAGAAAACAATGAGATGTAACCGCGACAGTAACCTGAAGTCATTTTTTTGATTCATTTATTTATTTTTATCCACATCAGATGTACAGAAGAGAGTACGGAGTACTCCGTAGTTAGTTGGTTAGTTGGTTAGTTGGTTAATTGGTTAATTGGTTTGATTAGGTTGACAACAGACAAAGAAGTAAAGCTCCTATTCCTATGAGAGAAGAAGCAAGCGAATAGCCATTGAAATAATAGTTCACAGCCAGCCAATGATTGAACAATCACTGATGCGCGATCCTGGGCGAAAATCATCGAGAATGGGGTAAAAATTATTTACTCTCTCTCTGTATACGGAGTAGAGAGAGTAGTACTCCGTAGAGAGAGAGAGAGAGAGAGAGAGAGAGAGAGAGAGAAAAGATCCGGGGAGGCAAAATAAGAATCCGACTCTTTTCCAACCGCGAGACATCATGTCACACACACACACACACACACCCCTTCAATGTTGCTCGTTGTTGTTGTTGTTGTTGAGCTCCAAGTGGCAACAAGAGAATGGGACGCAATTTTATTAAATAAACGAATAAACGAATAAACGAATACATGAATAAACACAACACATGTATGATATTGGCATGATATACAAAATACCACCCCACCACAACCACCACAACCACACCCGCACCCGCGCAACCCGCAAATATACAAGAATTTAAAATAATAATATAAACCCAAAGTTGAACGTAGCATGTAACCCCAGCATTGCTGCGGTGCGGTTCCTTTTAGTAGAAAAACTCTTCAGAAGCAACACAAGCAACAGGCCGGTGCAACGCTGCGGTGGAAGCTTGACACCACACCCAAGTTGACGGCTAACTAGGCTAGCTCGGCGCTTGCGGAGTTGTGGCTGGAGGCTAAAAGAATTAGCTTTGTAGCAGCTTGCGCCTGAAGGAAGGGAAGGGGGGCCTGCCCTGCCTGGACTGGACTGGGCCCGGGGGACTTGAGACGTTTGGGATTTTGAGGTTTGAGGTTTGAGATTTGAGATTTGGGATAATATTATATTATTATTACTCCGTATATATTTTATTAGCATGGAGAAGCAAGCTGCTTGGCTGGCTACTCTACTTGAGAGCTTTCGGTGAGCGGGTTTGATTTCTTTTTTTTTTCTTCTTTCCCCCCCCCTTTTTTTTTTGCTTTTGGTCGTTGAACGCTGCTGGGGGGGGTGTTTATTATTATCTTTCATTTCTTTCATTTCTTCTCTCTTCTTCTCTCGCTTTCCTTTCCTTAGGCGCGGTCTGGGGAAACAAGAAACAAGAAAGAGACAATAGAGCTGCAGTACCAAGGAACCATGCCTGCCGGGGTATGTCCTTACACAGGTCCCTTCGGTACGCGGGAGCTTACCCAAAGAAGGAAATTTTGGATCTCACCTGAGCAGTTGAACAGTGAGCAGGGAGCAGTCTTGGTCTTAGCTTTGTATTGTCGTAATAATAATAAGCAGGCTGAAGATATTCATTTCATGATCCTGATCCTGTCTAATAAGTAAGAATAATCAGAATAATCAGAATAATCAGAATAATCAGAATAATCAGAACAAGAATATAGAATATAGAATATAGAAAAAGAAACGAAATAGAAACAAAGCCGGTTCCCCCATAGTAGCTGCTATAATTAAAAAAGCGCCGTCATGCATGCCTGCCGTGTCTTCCTCCCTTGTTAAATTTAACATCGCAGCAAGCACTTGCATAGATCCTGATATGATAGATAGATTACTCCGTTAAGACGATAAGAATAGCGTGGAGCCAGCCAATAGAACAGAGCCCGGGGAGATTGTTAATTTCCGCCGCGATGTTTGCCCCGCCAATAGAAAGCCGAGTACGGAGGATCCCATACGGGACCACTCTCCACTCTCCACTCTCCACTCTCTACTCTCCACTCACCCTCCCCCCCCCCCGGAGTTGAGCACAGTACAAGTACAGGACAGGACAGGACAGGACAGGACAGGACAGGACAGGACAGTACATACAGGACAGTACAGTACAAGTACAAGTACAGTCTGTCCCATGGAAGGAAGGGGCTTCTATCACCTGCATGAACCTTGACATTTATACTTTACGATGATGATCATTCATTCTCTTGATGTTTTAGAGGAGTTGGTTGGTGGCTGGTTGGTCTTATTATTCATAATTTCTTTAACTATAAGGAAAATGCTTGATGATATTGAACTGATGACTTGGGGTAAGCGAGGCTAGTTATTAACATACACACTACTGTTCTCCGTACAGTAGTGTTCATCTCTTTTCTCCAGTTTTTGTGTCTTTTTTTAACCCCGAAGCTGGAGGGAGGGAAGCTAGTTAGTTATACCGTACATGGGCTAGCGGCAGGTGGAGATTGCTGACTCCTGAGTACCGGCTAGAGACTTCTTCCTTGAATACCATTCCCAACCAACCCCGTTGTTTGGCCCCATTGACTTTTCCCTCCCCCGCGCGCGCCACGAGGAATAAAAACCGTCATTTTAGCTAGTCCCCATACCTAATTAATATCTGTACAGATACATGTACATATACATACATACATACATACATACATACATACATACATGATACACTGCCTACATGTTTGGAGATTAATTAACACCAACAACCAACACCACCACCCCACACGACACGACAACGGGCTTCCTAGCTAGTAGTTGGTTATTAGTTAGTTAGCTTCGACGGGTTGCCGTTTGTTACTTCGGCCGTGTCCAGTCACAAGCGTGTGTTTTGTTGCTGCTCGAGAAAACTCTCTCTCCATCCCATCATCCATCCTTCTTTTTTGCGGTTGTCTTTTGTCATTATTTCTCCATTCTCCAGTCTCCAGTCTCCAGTCTCCAGTCTCCAGTAGAGTCTAGCTGCTCCCATCTCCAGCATTGTCAGCCACCAGCCAGTTCTCCAGTTTTTGGTCTCCAGTTTCCTCGTTGCTTGTCGCGTGCTAGCCTCCAGTCAAGTCCGAAGCATCCCCATCCATCCCTCTGCGACTCTGCTAAGACGCCCTTTACTACTGTCTCATCCGCCAGCCAACGCCAGCAACTGCGCCAACGCGCATCCACTGCGACCCTTGTGTGTGCCTATCTCTTGGCCCCTGTTGCTGCTGTTCTCCACGATCTTCCTGTTGCTCTCCGGTCTACTACTACCACCACCACTACGACTACTAGGACTACTAGAACTACTAGGACTACTACGACTACCCCGACTACCACCACCACTACTACTCCTTATCTCGGCTCATTCAACACATACATACACTCTCTTTCTCTTTCTTCCCCTTCTTCATGAACGTTATATCTGCGCCCTCCGACGCTCATCTTTAAACCTGGTTCTTTGCTCTCTCTCTCTCTCTCTCTCTCTGTCTCTCTATATCTGATCTATCTATCTCTCTCTCTCCATCCAACCAAAACTTCTCTCTCCCCCTCCACCTCCCCTCCCCCCTTCCCCCCCCCCCCCCCAAACGAAGCGGCTGTCAAAGCTTCCTGTGGAGATCTCCAATCGCGTGCTGCGTGTGCGATTTTTATCCATCGATTTATTTTCTTTTTCCCCCCCCCCATTACTTTTTTCTCTCCTTTTTCCATTGGGTTATTTTTAATCTTCGCGTGACTCTCGGTAGGTGGACTCTCCCAAGATTCATAGATAGCTATTCCGTTTTTTAGTACCGTGCTAGTACTGCTACTGTACCCGCCTTGCAATCCCTCCTCCTCCTCCTCGTCCGTCCTCGTTCTTTTTTCTTCTCTTCCCTGATCTTATTAAATAAATACCTGTTCATACCCCTCCCCCTCCCTTATACTCTCTCTCTCTCTCTTTTTTTTCTTTCTTTTTTTGTTTTTTCTTTCCTTCTCTTTGTGTGTTGTGTACCTGGATCTCTCGCGTGTTGTTGCTTGGATAACACAATCTCATCGCTGGCCCCTCTTGAGATTAACTGCGCTTCGTTGCTGCAGCTGGATTAATTACTCTCGTCGCCCAAGTCCCATTCTCTTCTTCTTCTTGCTCTTGTTCTTCTTATTCTGTCCTGCTCCTCACATCCCTGTCGCATTCACATCCACTCCTTTTTCTATTTATCATTGAATCGCGTGATTGAAATTGGGAACCTCTCCCCCATCTCCTGGGATTGCAGGCATCGATCGAAAAAAAAAAAAAAAAAAAGACATCAAGGTGTTTATTAACTTCCCGTGCTTACTTCCCCCTTGCCTTGCCTTGCGCGAATATTTATTGCTTTTACATTCAATTCGGTTATTTACTTGGCCCCTTCCAATCGTTTTTGGCGCGAGTTTGCCCTTCCCATCCGCCCCCCCCTCTATTGGTTGGTTGTACGCAAAAGGGGCCGATCTATACTTTTCCTGTTCTCTCTTACTCTCTTCTACTTGCTTGCTTGTTTCTTTTGTTTTCTTTCTTTTCCTCATTTTAAAAAAAGTGGGAACGTGGGAAGTTGTCAAGTCTATTACTAACAGTCGTCGATTACAGATTCTGCAGAGGGTTATTTATTATACCCTAATATAAAATCCCCCTCTGACACTTTAATTTTTTGTCGTTGCTCCGCTTCGACATATTCTCGCAACAATGTCTTCTCACGGTGAGAAGAACTCGGACCCGAATATCGAGAAGCCGGTCGACGAGGAAGCCATTCACGAGCAATCGCGTGCCGTCTCCGGGAAGCCATGGATGTACAAGCGCCCAAAAATCGGATCCTTCAAGTTCCCTTACTATGCGTCCCCTACTTCTCAGCTGCTCCTGGTCTCCTTTGTCTGCTTCTTGTGCCCGGGTATGTTTAACGCCCTGAACGGTCTGGGTGGAGGTGGTCAGCAAGATCCCCACGCCGTCAACATCGGAAACACCGCTCTCTACAGTACTTTCGCCGTCATCGGTTTCACTGCCGGTTCCATTGCCAATCGTGTTGGTCTCCGCTGGACTCTTCTCTTCGGTGGCTTTGGTTACTTCCTCTATGTCGGATCTATGTTGTCGTACAACCACAACAGGAACCTGGGCTTCCTTACCTTTGCCGGTGCCCTCTTGGGTGCTTGTGCTGGTTGTCTGTGGTGCGCCCAGGGTGCTGTCATGATGAGTTATCCCGATGAGAAATCCAAGGGTAAATTCATTTCTTGGTTCTGGATCATTTTCAACTTGGGTGGTGTCATTGGAGGCTTGGTAGGTTTTTGTGTTATTTTCTTTCTATGATACGCTGAAGGGTCTTGTTTTTTCCCCTTTCAGGGAAGAACGGACTATGTATTTTTTCGAGTTTGAGCTAATTATGGTAATGCACAGGTCCCCCTGGCCCAAACCATGAATGCCCCAGAAGGCAGAGCCGTCGGCGACGGAACCTACATCGCCTTCATGATTCTTATGTTCATCGGTTTCGTTCTTTGCTTCTTCCTGGTCGAATCCAAATACGTCCGCCGTGAGGACGGTTCGCAGGTCATTGTCATGAAGAACCCGTCCTGGTGGTCCGAAATCAAGGGTCTTGGCGAAGTCCTCGTATCCGACTGGTACATTGTCGCTCTCTTCCCTATGTTCATCGCCAGTAACTGGTTCTACGCCTACCACTTCAACAACGTCAACGGCGCCAAGTTCAATATCCGTACCCGTGCCCTGAACAGCTGCCTCTACTACCTTGCCCAGATGTTTGGTGCCTTTGCTTTTGGCTACATGTTGGATATGCCATCCCTGCGCCGCACTACTCGTGCTCGTCTCGGCCTGGTTGTCCTTTTCATTTTCACCATGGCCGTCTGGGGTGGTGGTTATGCCTGGCAACGCGAGTATACTCGTGCTGATACCGCCCTTGAAAATTTCCGCATCATTGATTTCAAGGACTCCGACTATGTTGGTGGAATGTTCATGTACATCCTCTATGGTGTTTACGATGCTGCCTACCAGACCTGCGTGTACTGGTGAGTTTTATTCCTTTCTTTCTTCTTTCTTTTGGCGTTATCTGCCCCCGTATTTGGTTTTTCTTTTCCCTGGCAATTGGGAATGAGAGAAAATGGAACGAGGATCAAAACAACGAGGTGAAACCAGTTGCTGATGTTTAATTTGTTCGAAATTTTCTAGGTTCATGGGTGCCCTTAGCAACAACAGCCGTAAACTTGCGAACTTCGCTGGTTTCTACAAGGGTCTCCAATCCGCCGGTGGTGCCGCTACCTGGCAGTAAGTTTCCAACCCGATCCAATAAAAGACTACTCACAGTGTCTTCTTCGTTCCCCCAAACACCCAACACAAAACCAAACTAACATCCCCTTCCCTTTTCAACAGAATCGACGACAACAAGGTCGAATTCATGACCATCTTCGCTATCAACTGGGGTCTTCTCTGCGGCAGTATTATCGTCGCCCTGCCCGTCATCCTGTACAAGATCAAAGACACCGTGGACCTCGAAGAGGATCTCAAGTTCTCCGACGAGACATTGGAGGAAGTCGCGCCAACTGCCTTGTTGGAGAACCGGGGCATGTCGACTGGGGCTGATGTTAAATAAATACTCTTTTTTTCACAACCATACCATGTCAAGAATGTGCGGCAAGGCGGGATGTGGTGTGAAGTGGAAAGCAAAGGGACTGGGATCCAGAGTCTTCCTTTGGATTTGACTCGTGTAATAAGGATGGGTGTTTGATTGATGGGTGGTGGGTGAGGGTTATGGGGGTTGGGAAACATGCAGAGCTGCACAGTGATCCACAATTGCAATGCAAGCCTGTGTGTGAACCTATCCTCCCTTCCCTCCTCTGGCCAATCCATCATTTCCAAACAGGGGCTGTCTGAGTAGTTGTTGGTGGCGGGAATTTGGGATAGTGATAGGACGGACTTCTTACATCTTACTTCTTCTTTCTTCTTTTTTTTTTTAATGAAATACCAAACTGACTTGAAATCACAGAAGTGTGTTTAAACTCAATCAACTCACTCTTTCTTTCTCTCTCAGACCTTCGTTCTTTTTTAATTCTTTTTTAAGTCTCTTCCTCTCTTTTCTTTTTGGTGTCTTGTTTGTGACTTTCCTTTGTATTTAAAACATATTCTCATCAAATCAAATCAAACTAGGAATATCAGTATATAAACAAGACAGACAGATCTCTTCTCAACTTTTTTTTTTTTTTTTTTTTTTTTTTTTCTCTCTTAAATATATGTATAAATTTCTTGTCTGCTTTTCTGATATCTTTTCTTCTATTCTATACGGAGTACTCCGTACCTCTAGTCAAATTGGCAGTCTCATGTAGAAGATTGTTATGTATTGTATTTTTTTTTTTTTTTTTTTTTTGGACCTGGCTTGACTTATTTCTTTAATCAGGCATTTTGCATGCTACTCTGGTGTTTGTTTGTGTTTTTAATGTAGCCCCTCCCCCCCCAAGTGCACATATTTTGCTTGCATATAAGATATATATATGCAGCTAGCTGTCTTATCATCAAAATTCAAAAAGTCCAACCTTGAACCTTCATGGAATGGGTACCTAGGTTAGTTGCTGTAATAATTAATAATAAAATAAATCAACCTACACAATAATGAGAAAAACTGGCCGCTAACACAATCCCCGCCTCCGCCTCCGCCTCCGCCTCCGCCCCGCCCCGCCCCGCCCCGTTCATCTCTAAGTGATGACCTGACCCCGCCGCCGGCCACCATAATCATTTATTTATCCCCCGGGCCACTCCCTCTTACACCAACAACCCCACAACAACAGCAATAACAACAACATGACTCCATACAACCCCAAAACTTTCCGCCGCGAGCGCATTTGCAGAACTGCTCACCTGCCCACCTCCATCCTTGGACGGCGGTGTATATTGTAGGTGCGTGGACTTCTCGCTGCCGGCTGTGCTGTATGTGGCGTCGATGCGCACCTGGCCTGTTGAGAGGTCCGTGCCGGTTAAGCTGCGGTTGAAGAGGTGGAGGGAGGCGAGGGGTTGGTAGTCTGGTTTGCCGGTTAGGGTTTTTTCTTTTTTCATTTTTTCTTTTGTGCACGGCGCTGGGCATTTAAAGATATATATATATAGTTATATATATATATATATAAAACTAGCGAAATAACCAAGCGAAATACTTACACGGCACCTTATGCCCCGCATCATACACCCTCGTAAACGAAAAATTCCCATACTCCCTCGTCGCGCCATACTCTTTATCCCCCACCATGAACGGCGCATAACCAGCCCTCCTGAACTGCTCTGCCCCCGAATACTCTACCTGCAAGGACACCGCCTCCCCGCCAAACCAGTTCGAGATGTAATCGGCGTCGCCGTAGATGAGCGCGACGCGGACGTGCGAATCCAGCAGCTCGGCAAGATAGTTGAGGAAGACGGGCTGGACCAAGTCGCCCGTGAGCATGAAGGCGGCGAAGATGTGCATGTTTTCTGCGCTGGTGTAGTTGAGGTTCACGCCTAGGGCGTTTTGGATGTGTGGTTGGTTTAGGTAGTTTATGAAATGGGTTGGAGGGGTGGGGTCCTGTATTTATGGTTTTAATGTTTGGATTTTTCTTTCTTTTTTCTTTCTTTCTTTCTTTCTTTTCCTTTTTATTCGGTTGCTGCAAGTATGTCAGGGGATAAAATAACTTTCCCGTCCTACGCTGCACTTACGTCGTGTGGATGGCGAATGTCATAGACGCCGCGGTCTGAAGAGGTATACCAGGGAGCCTCTGTGTATTGGTTGTTCATATTAGAGCAAGATTTGGAAAGAATATTCCTGGATATAAAATAGCTGATGGCGAACTAATGGCGAGAGAGAGATACTCACCAACAGTGCTTCGACATATAGACAGGGCATCAGCACAAGTGGCGTGGGCAATGATACCAGTCCTATTCATCTGCTTGCATGCAGATATGCTATCCGCGCATCCCCCCTCCCGGATCTGTGAGAATTTCATATAGTCCACTGTGCTTTGGTTAAGCTGGGCGGAGACTAGGAGTTAGAAAAATCTCAATCCGTATATAAGGCAAGAATAGGTGGGCAAAGTGTAGAACGGTGGTTTTTGGAATTTTTTCCCAACGCTGCACCGGGGTAGCATAACATACCGGCTTGATCCCGTAGGTGTTATTTACTGCAAATTCCGGGTAATATGGGAACTGCAGATATGTCGCCGTCAGTTTACTCTCCTCGAAGCAAAGCAGAAAATAAGTAAATATGGGGGTGTCCCCGATCTGTTAGCTGACCTGTATCTCAGCATCTACCAGCCCATTTATGATACCAAGGGTATTGAACTCGAGCTGGATGCCATCGGTAGTCCCGTTCGCAATCAGCTGATTTTGCTTGCGGAAGTACTTCAAAAACTACACCATGCTAAAGATTAGAACATGACGGAGGGTTGCTAGCGGATGGGCCTACTCAACAGAGGGGCCATAGTGTCTACAGCCAGGTTAGCATCTATGCGCCCAGAAGCGGAAAAAACAATAATAAATTAGCTAACAAGTAATTTGTGAACGTACCCCCCATAACTTTCAGTCCACAAGTTAAAACTTCGGGATTTGATCTTCGAATCAAGCTGCGGTATGGCACTGTAAAACCCTTGCAACACGTCCCAGACCATTACGGCGGCCTTGTCAGTGGTATCAACTGCCCAATGTGAGCATGATTGACACTATAGGTGATGAATGCACAGCTCATTATACACTTACTCATTGGATGACCACTGGCTTCTGCGAATCGGCCCTGCACACCAGCAACAGTCTCTGGTTCAATATCGCCCGTGATATTGTTCATCGATCCAAATTGGGTAGTTGCGTACGAAAATCCTATAGACATTGGCTAGTTGGTGAGCGCTGCGAACATGGAGAACACGCCTAATCATGACAAGAAAATTTCTGCAATATTGTCGCCATGTACGGTAGGCTTTTTGTATTTCCGTGTCATTATCATTTCTTTTCCACCCAAGAGCGCTTGGAATCCCTCTGATCCCCATATTAGGTGGCAGCGAGTGGGTAAATCTGCCAACGCCTCTGTAGGAAACGCAAGGAACGCACCGACTCCCAAGGGCTGTGAGAGAAATAGCATATTAGAAACCTCATTCCAGGCATACGGGTTTAGCCTTGTTTCAAGATCTTCTGTCACATTGCACGCGCCGAGTTCTGTAGTTATTTGGGTAAGCGTCAAATCTAATAATTCTCTAATTAGAACCGGGTTTCATTTTGGGCTCTAACCTTGAAATAGGCCGATCATTGAATCACTCCCAGGTCCACCGTTAAGAAACAGAGTGACAGGTGCATTGGCGGGATCATGTCTCGCTTCGAAGAACCAGAAGAACATGTGCGAGTGTTCATCGAGGTCAACATAGCCAGAGTAGGACTTGACTCCTGGAGTGGTTTCGCATACTCCATCGCTGCCCGGTTCCTTATATCTAATTTGCACGCCAGATGGAGACAATATTGTCTTCACCCCCTCAGGGTTTGCGGGGGTTTGTGGGTGAAGATTTTTGGCAGACACTGCTGCGTTTCCGAGTAAATTGAAGAATATCAACGCCTGGACAGCGGAACATATCTCGTATCTTCGCATTTTTGCCTCCACGGGAACAGGAGGAATTTACCGATATCCGGAGGACCATCTAGAAGGGAAGAGTTATTGGGATATGAAGCTTCATGTTCCCAGAAGCTTTTTATAATTATGGGCAAGAGAAATTTCATATCACACATCAGCGGGTAGGTGGGTAGCTGCCGCGGAGCCAACATCGAAACACGCTATCGCCACGATTACCCGTGTAACGCTCATCGCACGACGTGCCGCAAGTAGTAGGCGATGGCTATCATGCACGAGGGCAACGCCAAGGATGAAAAAGCGGTTCATATGAGACATCTAACTAGGTTAGTAGAAGTGACTGGGATAGATGGTCGGTGAAGACATTTATCCTAGAACGAAATAGAAGGACCGTCAATAACTTGAGCATAGGCCACTGGAGAAGGCGCTGAAATTCGGCATTTAGCATTGAATATTGTGATGTTGACGAAAGGTGACATCCCTTTTGGCCACCACACTTCATGGCCATATCGCGTTTTACGAGTATGCAGATTTCCTTATGCTTCTACCCTGCCTATTGAAAGTCCTGGCTTGGACTTCATATAAATCTGCAATGTTAGTATGGCTGTTAGTAGGGCGCATGCGTCGACTAACAAAAACAAGGATAGGGGGTTTTCAGAAATGGAATATGTCGGCCAAGGTATCACTGCTGGACTCTCTGCTGCTCAGAAAAGAATATCTGTACAACCATGTACATGTACATGTACCTCAGTAACCAGATGTAGACCATCTGGAGTAGCGCTTTTATTTTTCGATACGAGTATCAGTGTAAAATTGGCTGAGAATTGGAAGAGAAACACGTACCAAGCCTGTCGGACAAGGACGGTCCTTCACCGCTAAAATGAATCCAGAAATGTCAACATTGACCCACGTATATTAACGTGGAGACTTGCATCAGTCTTCAAAAAGGATAATTGGCCCCCACGCTGCCTAGCCGTCTTGTTCCACGAAAATAGGCCAGTATCCAGATGAGCGCAGGAACTCAATGTTGTGCGACGGATCAAGTTTCGACTATTGATTGGATCCACGGATCATCCGGTCATGCGGAGCAGCCAGCGCAGCCCATTTCAAGTTCAATCCTCGGGATATAAGAATGCACCTTTCCGGGCCTTTCTCACTGTAAAAGGGGAAGTGGATGCAGGTAAGTAGAACACGATAATTCAACAGCGACGTCGTTGACATCCGTTTCATCAATTCTCTGCTCTTTTGTCCTCATAATGTTCGATACCAGCTCGCCGTCCGTCTTTCGCCTCTTTATAGCAACAATCTGCCTCAGCACAAATATCACTTCTTGGCTGCTGTAACTTGAGCACTTGGATTATAGGCAATCCAACCCACAGGCGCAGAAACGCAATTAATTCCATTCAAAAGGGCAATAGGAAGCGCAAGCTAGACACCAGGCGTTGGCAGCTTGCTTGGTAGTCCTGAGGAGCGAAAAGCGCACGAAAGGGGCGTCTGTGGAACCAGCGCCAAAACGAACCCATAAGCGGTCGAAGGTGATGATATAACTACCTGTCCCAAGCTATTTGCAAATTTAATGAGAAGAAGTCTTGGACAAGAGCTTCTCAAAATAGAACACTCATGGGTATTCGAAAAATATGTAAAACCTTTGATCCGTTCCTATATATGTCAACGAAGTGTTCAGGTTAGACGGGGGAATGTAACGAGTTTAAAAACGTAAAAAGCCCTAATCTGTGCCGATTTGGGCAGTCATTAGGGCTACAGAGTGGTTTGCAAAATAATAAACCTCGTCGACGCTGGCAAGCGGGTGCGAAGGGGGGGGAATATTCTCGTCAAGCTAAACAAATCAATAAGTGAAGATTCAGCTTTCTGAAGTCAGTGAAATCATGCCTCGGCGATTCTCCAATTTGCATTTCAACGCTGGCGATGTTTAACTTAGCTTCGGTGAAAATATAAATATTCAAAAACACACAGCGCACCCCGCTCGACTGAGCAATCTCTGGCAACACAAGGAAGGGAGAAGGAATGAAAGGCGTGAACATGTTAAAAGACGACTTCTTCCTCGCAAGGTTCAGGACAAGACTGATTTGCTCACGACCATTTCCAGAACGCTTCGCTCCTGATTCCTGAGAGACCTCAGCAACCTCTCCCACTGAAAAAGGGAATAGCGCAATCGTCCTATGATAACTAATTCTCCTTAGCCCGCCCTTCCCGCGAGACGTGCGTGCATGAAACAAACCGAGGCTATGGGGGCTTGGGGGCCTTCTGTCTAGCAGCACTTAGCGCACATTTAGCCTTCTGCATCATCATGAGAGTCACCCATCAATGAGCTTTTGAGGTAGCTCCACAGAGTGCATGCTCCGGAGCTATGTTTTTGGAAGTGCGGGACACGAGTACGATTGCGGGTACATAGCAGGAATGTGTGGAGTTGAAATTGTTTAGAGAAGGGAAGATGAGAAAAGCATATGAAGGATGTTTTTATTATTCAATGTCAAATTATATATATCTGGTAGTTACCTATGTGCGTATTATGGCATAGTTACAGGGGCCTGCAATGGACGAAGCGCGTATAGTTAACTCGAGGTTATTATGTTTATTTATCTTTTGGCTTTATCACTTCATTTTGTGAACTTTGTAGAAAATGTGTAGTTCAAATTCTCCATTATTAAAAACATTCTCATTGCTTGCCCAAATTAGGGGCGTACAGCATCATTAGGTTCAAAACACGCCAAAAATAAGAAATGAATAAAATATAACCCTGCAGTCCGTAGACATCACGTAAACTCCCAGATCTAATTTTGATATTCCTTTATTCATGAAATAGGAAACGAAAAAATGCGAAAATGTCCGTTAAACTGTTTTATTACATTAAAGATGGGGGTATCAGGGCCCGAGTCGCATAACACCCGGTCGTCAAATCGATGCGTTGAAATCTGTATCAGCAGAAATGCTTATTGCTCTTAGTTGCAATGGCTCGCATTCAGTAAAAGGAGAGTTGGGACTCGTAGCCTTAGCGCCTGCGTTCTCGGTGCTGTTAGGCATAGAGATATGTTGTTCTCCAGCTTTGCCGTCGGAATCAAGTGGCTTCTGATCAAAGTTTGAGACCACTTGCAGATTATTGTTATTATTATTGTTCGTCTCAATGGTATTGTTGTTATTATTGTTGTTGAGGTTGTTCTCAGTAAAATCATGCATCCAGTCAATGTTATCAAGATTGTATCTGTTGCTGTTGTCATTTGACATGCTCGAAATCGTAGGGTCAATGCCGTCAATGCCGTCTTCACCGGCGAAGAAATTCGCGCCCGCATCGTCGAAATTGATCAACGCGTCGAGGTCGTTCTGGTTGATGTCTGCATCATGGGCGAGATTCATGAGCTCTGTTAGACTCGTGTCACTATCTTCGGTGCCGTTAAGTGCGGCTTCATCGGAGAAAAAATCAGGGCGGATATTATTAGTGCTTCCGTTTTCACTTCCCACGGATTGAGGTGGCGTTGAAGCGTAGAGAATATCCGGTTTCTCCACCTGAGTGAAGGGAATGCTAGGCGTGACTGAAGTATAAGTGAAGTCCGGGATTTTATCTGGCATGCTGTCCGGTGGTGGAGTCAAGGCATCGGGATGGCCGGTAGAGAAATGAAGTGCGCTTGGCCGAACTGGTTGCTCTTCAGGTACCTGGGTGGAAACCTGAATTCCAGCTTTCCGAATGGCGGCTTCAAGGAAGGACGTTGCGAAGTCTGCAGACGCATAAATTTCCCTCAGTCTTTGCAGGATCTGCATACACTGATAGAAGCGATGTAAACTGGCAGATCGGATATTAAGGTCATTGGATTTGATATCAAGGAGGTGGATGATGACTGCAGGGAGCAGAACAGTGACTCCCGTAGTTGGGAGGTAGCGGGTGAGGTCCATTGTATGCAAGTGCTGGGCAATATTTGTGATTTCGATTGCAGCATAGCGGACTTTGTTGCGGGACAGGTCCTGAAGTCCAGCTTCAACTGTTGAGGATGGGGTAGCAGGAAGAACTTGTGGACGATGTAATGCACTAGAGGTTGTAAGGTATATCATCTTCAGCAATGCCCGGTGGAGATGTAGGACTTCCTCCCCATTAGCAAAGCTAGATGATGAAGGGCGTAGATACTGAGCCACCTCCGGGAGACTAGAGAGCCAGGCTTCCAGCTCCTGATCACATTTCTGGACTTCACATGTTTCCGATGAAGCTTTCTTTGGGACCAACATCATTGTAGTCTCCGTCGTACCTCCAAACTTGTGACCCAGAACCGAATATTGCGCGCCAAGGACGTGGCTTATGCAAAGACACAGTTTGGATTTTTCCATAAACATGGTTGCAAGCTGCCTCTGTTGCTCAATATTATGCGCTAATTCGCAGTCTCCAACTATTTGTAGAGCTTCGGCGGAGAGTGGCTTGACATCGAAATCGTCCAGCGTGAGCATAGGGACATTGCAGTCTTCATCCTTAATCCGAGTGGGTCGTCGCATTCCTAGAGCAATCAAGCGGTCACGAGTGTAAGTGCTCCACCAAACGCGCTTCCAGAGTTTTTGTCGTCTAGGGTCCATACAGGAGGAAGACGGGTCTCGATGGAGGCCAATAGTATGTGCAAGTGATAAACTGACACCCATCCAATGCCAAGTATCTTTTTGGTCATCCGGCATCTCATACCAGTGAGTCATCAGCAAAAGGGATTGGACCAAAGATATCCGATCAACCTCGTAATCAAAATCATACAAAAGCTAAAAGATGAAACAAACACACGTTAGCGAGAGGCCTCGACAGCAAAACAAGAAAAACCCAAACTTGCCATACCCTAGCTCTTTGAAAGAATGCTTTCCTGGCATCCTTTCTTGATTCGTAGCCAGCCTCTACTAGGTGCTTCATTGAGATGAATGCAGTTCCGGCAAACATAGTTGCTTGAAATAGAAGAAGGCTCATACGACGCGAACCATCGTTCCGTGCAATAGTACGCAGGAAATCGTCCAATTCCAACAGTGGCATGTACGGATGAACGAATTGCAGGTAACTTTTCATGAGTTCATTGCGCAGCCCCTCACTCGGAATTGTCAGAGCACCCTTGGCTTCAAGGTACGCGATATCGTCGGACTGGAACTTCGCCGGCAGAGGGCGGATAAAGTTGGGTAGCCAGCCTTTCGGCTTCTGTGGGGGCTGGGGGGAAATGCGGGCTCCAAAATCGACATCAAGTAGTTGTTGAACGGCGGAAGTCATATTACACAGTGGGCGAGCGGCCGGACGCGCCGAAATACTTGACATTCTGCGTCGTCGATCTTCCTGCTTGATTCGGTTGTCTTGCGTTTGATCTAGAAGTCACATTAGTAAACTGGGAAGATAGTATCTGTAGATGTTATAAACGACGAACATAATAGGTGCGGAACGTGATGACCGTGCTCCAAATCCACTGATAACTGAGATGGCGACAACGGAGCTAGCGGATCGGGAATTGGCACCCCGATATGGTCCTCAGTGCTGGTGTTAAAGGCAAATCCCGAATCGTCTGGTGTGTTAGCTGATTGTGTCGGTGTGGAGTTTGAAGCGCCTCCATCACCTCGAGACTTCCTGAGAACAAACATCTATCAGCTTTCATTCAAATTATAAGGAGCTTAATTCATCAAGCAAACGTTCGCGGTTGTTGGGCAAATAAACTGACTTTCTGCGCTTGCTCTCGGTGACAATGCATTTCACTTCATCTAATCTGCAGTTCGTACACGGAGAGCCATTTTCCATGACATCACATCGGACCTTGCGCGCCCTGCAACAGCAACAAGCTTTCGATGCGCGACGTTTTACCGGGCGAGATGTAGTCTGAATGCCTGCAGCGGCGGCTTTCCGCTTATTCTGCGGCTGCAGTTCCGCTACCTCGACGGAAGCCATGACGAATGAATTTGTGGCCAGCGTAGTATGTATGAGAGAGTTAACTCTTCCAAACTTGCAATCGGTTTCCGAAATCAACACAATTTTAGAGAAAGTCAGGGAGCAAAAAGAATCGTAAAGAAGATCCGATATTATCAAAATATATTTATAAATCCCAAAACAGGAAGAGTGGAGAGTGTGTATCACAAAATTTGTACAAAATAGAGAGGCGGGCAAAATAGAGGGAAAAAGGGGGGGAGCGGTGGGGACCAAGCTCTTATGTAGGCCAGTCCATTCCGGCGCAAAGCTTGCTCATCTCCTAACAAGCTGCAACAAGCTGCAGCCATAGCAGCTCGCCATTGTTTGCCTCCCCCATATCGGATATGAGACTTGCGGGTTTCAAAGCGTGGGCTGTGGCCCTGTGGGGAACTTCCAAGGTTGCGGCGGGGCGCCAAAACGAAGAGACCTGGGCATTTAACGACGACCGCTGACGGCGCTGAGAGCTCGTAAACCGGAGTGCTAAAAGTGAAGAACAACGCGCCTTTTCGGACGATAGTAGACGCTAGACTGAGTTCGCGATGGGACGAGAAATTTCTCAGAATTCCAGTAGCTGGAGAGAAGGAGTTGAACCGCCAATCGCCAGGTCAAGGGGGGACCCAACCCCACACTGAACCGCCGAAGAGCCCGCCTCTCCAGTAAGTGTGCTTATTTTAACTGGTTAGCGGTCATACATTTCGCCGCTAAATCTAGAGGACTGCCAAGTTGTGCAGGGTCCTTGTTGCCGAAGTTCTGCTCCGGCGAGAAACGGAGGCGTTCTCATGATCTTAAAAGTTGGAAGGCTCAAGCAACGAACAACAAATCGCTGACTCTCACATGAATAAAACGCAAACGTGCGACCTTCTGTTTAAAGGAAGGGTGTTCAGCCCATGCACAATATATGATGATTATTATTATTGCCATGCTGGATGCGGATTATGAAGCTCTATGCAATGAGACAAAATTTCATCCGGGTGTTTGGGTGCGAATGCCGAGAGCCGGGCCTGTACCTGAAATATTTTTTTTGCCCTTTGAATGCATAGTACCGAGATGTAAGTTAGTTGTTATCTCTCAACATACGCTGTAAGCATAAAAACTGCCGCTGTTCATATTTGGATCATTATTATTGATTTTGTGAGCCTGTTCGCCATCTAATAAACTTGCGGAAAAAATCAATAATTCTAAATGTTTGCAAGAGGGTCCAAGGGCGCAGGAATTTGCCAAGCTGGTGAAATTACCTCGGGCTGCGGCCGATTGTTCTCCAGGAGGACGGTTGGTGGATGGTGTTCGGTACCTAGGTACCTTGATACCCCAAACATGTAAGGAGAATTAAGTTTTGTGTGGGCCACTGGAATAATTTTGCGTGCTGGTTTTCAGGCTGCTTCGTGGATTACTGATGATTTGCCCTGGAAGCACCTCTTGAGACTCGCTAATTCAGGTCATGATGCCTTGTGCTCTAGAAGCTTCAATGTAATAAGTACTGAGCAGTTTCTCATATGGTCTACTAATTGCCCGATCTTGGAAGTTCGCGGAAAGTTGAGATCATGGGGTAGCCAGAATTTGATTATTTATGGCCAAAGTAGTTTTTGCTTTCGGAGTTTTGCGTTTGTTCGGGCTTGCGCGGTCAGGTGGCCAAACTGTGGGACAAAACAGGTTGTTTCGTCCAACCTTGGCTCAGGAAATCCTTGTTGTTGGACTCTCGAGTTGGGTTTTCGAGATCGAGATGCCTGCAATGACCACACAAAAGTCCGGGGTCGGACGCTTAACTAGTTACTTCCTTTCAGCCCTAGATTTTAACCATTTGCCTGAAGGCTGAGACTGAGAAAACGAAGCGGCCAGCTTCGGGGTTCCCCAATATTCTGCGTCGGGCATTCCTTTATCGGCGGTCATCCTCTCAAGCCAATGTGGCACCCATTCGGGCAAGTCTTCTGGGTTGTTCATCTAGGCTAGGAAAACCTAAGCCATCGTTAGCTACCGAAGAAGTTTTGGCTAGCCTGCTTTGGAGATCCATTGCTTCCCATGCGACTGGCCAGCTCAAACCCTTCAATTACGAGGGGTGATACTGATTAGTAAAGCGGGGGAGGGGCAGGATTTTCAATGATAAGAGGAGCATGGTCAGACTTGCAGATTCGTTGGTAGCCGTCACTCCCTATGCAATGAAAGGAAATAGTTATTTATATCAGTTGGATGCTAGAATCCTGTTGTTTTGTTCGACGACGTACGTTGGTAACCTCGAAATCCCCGTGATCTGGCATGCCCTAATCGTCCGCGGTTAGTCCCGTATGCTGGACTTGATGGCCTTGTCTTCAACCTCATCGGAAGACGACTCTCAAACTGTTGAATTTGTGCTGTAGAGTTCGTGGGATTTCCAATGGTTCCGCCTCTCCTTTGCCCTGCCTCTAGCGCCTCCCGCCACGCGATTGTTCCTTCTGGAACACTTATTAGTTAATGGAGCAACGAGCCAGGTAGCTCACTTTATTCATGGAGCTTGGGATAGCTCCACATTGCTTCGCCGCCGAATACTTTCCGCCCCAAAGATGGGGACGGGGACTTCATTTTTTGTGCCCCATTGTTATCCCCCTTCTTGCTATTTATTTTATTTTATATTTTTTATTATTTTATTTTTATTTTCAAAGACCTCGAAAAAAGGCTGTCAGTATTCTCTTGGATCTCCTTCCATCGTTTTAAAATTTAAGTTTACCAATTCTGATGAACACTGTATATACGCTTGGTACCTACCCGGATGGTTCCCCGATTCCACCAGGAGATAAAAAGTTAAAAGTGGCTGCGGAAAGTCCTGCACTTTTCTGGTTGCTCTTCACTCATGATTGCTCAGGGGTGGGGTGAATTCAACTTGGAGTTATGACTCTATCACACCAAGGAAGCACCTGAAGTCCTTGGTTCGTTAGAATATTTCTCTCGGATTTTTTTTGGCGTCGAAAACCCCGTCTCGGAGAGCCACGTCCAAATCGAAGATGAGTCAAATAATTTCTGAGAAAGTATCAGAAAGTGATAATTAGCCTTGACGTCAATCTGAAGTTTTAGTCTGCCTGAACTCTGGCCATCAAAATCCCGGAGAGCATTGCAAGCGTGCTTCGAAGTTTTCGGAAATCTTCCGTTCAGGCCGTCTAACGGGCACGCTACCGCGAAAGACAACAGAGTTGTGCTGTCAGGTGAGCGACTTGTGTTCTTTTTTGCCTCTATCGAGTCTACCAAACCAAAAAAAAACCTGTTTTGAATATAGCCCTATCTATTGGGCACGCCTGGACAATGCGGGATTGAAATAACCATCACCACCCCTGAGCGGACCCCGCGCGGCCTGACGGACTACCCGCCTGCTTGTTCTCCCTCTCCCTCGCAGAACGGCATGCCGCTGATCTAGACTCATTGCTCAGCGCTCGCGCAGGTAAATCCCAAGTGCTAAACAAACGAGCTTCCTCTCTTGGGAATGTACACGATTAGGACATTTTTAGTTTAACTAACGAAATGATGACCAATGCGTCAACAACCCTTACATTACATCACCTGTCTGCTATTTTCTTTTTGTTCTTGGAATGAGAGGGATAAAAACCCACAGACTACGAGTAGAGCACACCAATATACTAATACGAATCCCGGGAGGGATTCGCCGACAACTTTTGATCAAGGCGGGATAAGGCGATAACTGCAGTCACAGTCAGTGAGTGATAAATAAATAATAATAAAATTTCTCAGAATCGAATCCTTGCGGGGAAGCCGGGGTTGGGTTGCGGAGACAGTCGGGATAGCAGACTAGCTTGGCTGGGAATATCTCGGCCGAGGGCGCCCAGAAAGCAACCATCCGATATCGGTTCGTTTGCCTCTAGGGTGATAATAATAATTATTTTTTTCTCCTTGCGCTTCTTGCCGGGGCGTCCATCATGTGGGGCTTCCGCAATCGTTTCCTTCCATGCTGATATAAGACAGCATAGCTAACTAACTATACAAAAGGATGTAGCCCGCCAGCTTTCAATCTGTTACTTAGATGTTGATTCCCAGCACAATTGCCGTGATAATTAACCAACGGCTTAGATCATGTTATTTACACACAGTCCGGGGTCATTTGTAACGGATGTGACATCGCAGACCACTAGCATGCGACATATATCTACAATCTTCACATACTACTTCGAGGAGCCATCCTAGTTTACAACCTGATGGAAGGGAGAGCCAATATCCTCAGTCATCACGCGCTCCATACAACCTCTGCCTCGTTCAAGTGGTGGTCCCAAATTAGCGAGTAGAAATCCGTTGTGCAGATTTACGGGACAGAGATGTTTACGTGCCATGAAACTTATACCACAGGGGGAACAGCATAAAAAACTTTTTCAATCTTGAAATAGGGGTATCAGTTACTAATTGGTACCTTGAGCAGAACAGTAATATAACAAACACCCAGAGCTGGAGGGGGAGTTGCAACAAAGATACCAACTTCTCTAGCCTGATCCATTTCCTCTAGAACATCCTCCACACTTCGAAGAAGAATAAGCCATCTATAGCAAAATCTTCCTCCCAGCCTCCAGCTCACCTATTTCCTTACGCAATTGAGCGCGTTTCCGTCTCAATTTGGGATCTTCTCCAGCGATTTCACTAAGTTGTTCTGCGGACAGGCTTTGGACAAAGGCTGGGGAGAATTGCTTGAGGGGTGTCTGTCGACCAGCGATGAGATGGTAATCTACCGCTTGCATGCACACGCTGTCCACGAAGCGTTTCCGAGCTACTCTATAGTACGATTTCAAGATATCATGGAGATCGCGGACGGTATGCTCGAGGTTACTCATATGGTTCTGATGCACGATATCCTGGAGTCGGACGACTGTTCCGTGAGCACGGTCGCTAATTGCATGTTTTTGCATCGCGGTCTCTATCCGTTTCTGGCGGCTGCAAACAATGTCAGTATGTCACACCAATATGAACTTCGGGGAGTGGGGAAGGCATGCCATTTCTCAAGGTTGTCGTTGAAATAGTGATTAAGCGTCATGGGAATGCCATCTCTTTCCACACACAGGAGGAATTTAACCTGGCGTAGAGACCGCTGGTATATCTCAACAAGCGGATCCATCAGAAGGGACAGTAAACGTTCACGGACCGGCCGATCTTTGCAAACCGATTCCAGTACTTTTAGGATAAACGAGTGGACTGCACATATCATGTCGCTGACGTAACCGAGCGCAAGAATTTCCCAGTTGACGGATTGTTTCTTTACGATCGGCGACAGAACTGACGGGTTAAATGTGCCAATTTCGAAACCACGGCTATTGCGGAATGTATCTCTCAGCCATGTCAAAATGTGTGTTTGGAAAGCATGCTGAACAGTTGTTGGGGGCGTAAGAATGTCTTCAAGGCCCTCAGGGTCTTTTATAGACCTACTCGTCGGACCCTGGTTTCCCTCTTCGCGAGCATCTTCGCCTCCAGATTCACATTGATCCCCATCGATCACCTCCCCGGATTCATCTTCTCCATCCGCACTGGAAACAAAGGCATATCGATGTCCCCAATGCTCCATGTCCTCAGAAAACCTGTCATTTCTGTTCACCAAAATAGTGGGAAGCTTTGTGGACGGCTCTCGATCGAATATATCATTGCCACCGTAATCGGAAGCCAATGCGAGAAATGATATGTGCTGAACCTTGGTGATTATGTCAAGAAGATACTTTCGTTGGCTGTCTGTAGAGTCCCTCTCTGGGCCTAGGGACGCTAGCGCGTCTTTCTTGCGAGCAAGAGCTTTGCTGATCTCGGACTTCACCTACTCGAAGTTATATCAGTAGTAGACCCTTTATTTAGTTATTTAGACTAGTGAAAACTGACATGGGGAAATTCCCGGCGGATATGCGAGGTAAGAATCTCCTGGAGCCGCGTGCGCAACGAATTGATTCCAACTTTATCCTCATCAATCGTGTTCCAGGGAGATGTCGACCTGAAGAAACTTTCTTCAGCCTTGTCGCGATCCTGTGTGCCGTCGTCGAGATCCTGTTGGCCCTGATTTCGTACTAAACTCCATCCCATCTTCCAACTCGATTCCTTTTCCAACAGATGAATCACTTTTTTTTCGGCGCCCTTGTCAACAAGGTCTGGCTTCGTGAGTACACCGATTGTTCGTTCCCCGTGAGCATCGACCTCTTTTGCCATCTCTAGAATCTCCTGGGTTGCGATATCGACATTTGCAGGCACGATTACCAACATCACACTTCGCGGGTTCTTCATGTATTCTTGCACCATGTTTCTGACAAGTTGGATATCCTCTTTCGTAGTTAAGCCGGATGTAGTATTTTTGAATATACCTGGAACGTCGATTATGCTTAGGTGATCTTCATCGGGACCGCAGACCTCCAGCCTAAGAACATCGGTTGAAAATGTCTTACCAGATGTGTCCAGTGAATCGCTTAACCCCATGACCCCGTTTACCTATTAATGTTATCCAATCAGTCGGCAATAGTTCAGAGTGCACATGGCAAAAGCGAACTCACTTTAGCCATGATGTTCGCGAAAGAAGGCCGGTTCAGTTCTGGAAGATCGACAATTCCCCAGGAACGGACATGTTCGGCATGTTCAAGGTTCGCATCTGCACCAGGTATAATCGACACAGTAATTCTCTTCTCCTCCGCCCTCCGAAAGGTGATTTGAGTTGCGAATCTTGTGCAGAGGCCACTGTCGCGAGGAAATGGTAACTTTGTCAGGCCTTCAAGAACCGAGCTTTTACCAGACGATTGATCTCCAACGACAACTAGTTGAGGCAGAGCAATATGGCTCCCCACATTACAAGCAAACAGTTTATCAATTTTGTCCAGCAGCGTAGGGTCGGAGAGCTTATGGTAGGCGCCGGATTCCGACTCCATTCTGACGGATAACAAAGTCCAAGGCTTCAGTCTCTGGATACTAGATTGATGTAGCAGGCCTGGGGGAAAAGGTGGTATATATAGACAAATTCATGTCTTCCAGATCCCATAGAGTCCAATAAACTGGTCTAGAGGAATTCCGGGCAAAGTCCACTGGATGCTTCTGAGGATCACCACAGCTGAGAATGAATAGCTGTTGATATTGATGATAAAGAAATATCTGTGATCCTTCTTATGCAGCAGCTGTAGCATCCCATTTATTGGACTTTATCAAAGGAATCATTTGCATCTGTAACTTGGCCATCTCACTGGAGGGAGGTGAATTGTCATGTACCAGCGGAAATTGGCTGGGTCATAAGAAATGTCTAAAGGAGATGCCATCTGTTGACATAACAGCTTCAGCCATGCAGTAATGCACTTTCATGCTTCACTCATTGAAGGCAAGCAACAAAAAGGAGTGCAATTCATTAGTGTAAATTGCAATTGCCCAGCATCTATTGCAGGGATTGACCCAACTCTTTGGCAGTTTCATTGTGCCCATCTCCATGGACAGCTCCAAACAGTCTGGTCCAAAGTTTAGACAGTACATTTTTTAGCGAGCCAACATAGTCAAAGACAGTCATGACAGCAGATAGAGCCTTTCTTGGTTGCAGGGTGGTGTCTGCATGGATGAAACAAAGAACAAAGAGAGGTAGGTAGGGTAGGTTGTGGTTGATATCTTTGGCGCCAACTAGCGCCATATCAACAGTCCGGGTGTCCACGATCGGTATTTCTGCTGCCTAGCCGCTAATCTTGAGTTGTATGCCACCTCGTACGGAGTTCACGCTCAGTTCGAAACATCAACTATCTAGACTGGGTAGAGAAGGTCTGTATAGGATGTTCTCTTCTCTCGATAATTACTGAAGCCTGGCCGAATGGCTAAAAATATGTGGCTTTTCCTTGCATGACTATGACGTTTGTTTGCCCGACTGTCACGCAGAATGAACACGAGCATGATATTGATTCCATCTCAGGCAGCAAAATTAACAGTAGGATATGGAAGAATGCGGCGGCTATATATACCATCATCTGTTCAGGGCAGCATCTTCCCAATGCGCCCGCTGAATTTCGGGTCTCAACGATAGTCTATCCAGTGTATTCATCGCCTACTTCTCCATTTCGCTATCAAAAATGAAAATCGCCATCATCGGCGCAGGCATTGGCGGATGCGCCGCCTATCTCTCCTTGAAGAAGCGCCTCCCAAAGCCCCCGTCCCCATCTCAGGACCATGAATACACCATCTATGAAGCCTACGCTACCCCCCGGGACTTCGAATCCCCCCATCCGCTAGGAGAGACCCATTCTGCCTCCCTCGTTGTGGGCGGAGGTCTTGGCGTGGGTCCCAACGGACTCAGGGTCCTCCAACGGCTGGATGAAGAACTCTTCCACGACGTTGTACGGGCCGGGTATCCCTATGGCACCCTGAAGTTTATGAACTCGTATGGCTGGACGCTGATGCGGATGTCTACTCGTGGCGGTTCTGACCCGGAGATTAATTCCGTTTCCATGAGCAGACATGCGATTTGGAAGACTCTACGGAGTCGCATTCCGGATGGCGTTCTTGTCAATAAGCGTGTTACGGAGGTTGTGGCTAATGCGGATGGACGAAATATCATCAAGTTTGCGGATGGGAGTCCAGATGTAGAGGTCGACCTTGTAATCGGCGCGGATGGCTTGAAAAGCGTGGCAAAGAAGGCACTGTTTCCCGCGGAAGGGCAGGATCTGTACCCCCCACATTATCAGTTGAGTTTTGGTTTCCTAACCATTTCACTATTAGGTTATATGAAACCCCGCATAGCTAACATTCATCCCCTTTTATAGAGGCATAGTTGGTATCGGTGGCTTCGTGCCCCTAGCCGACATCAGCTCACACGTCGAAGCAGGCGCCATGAATATTGTGTTTGGAGGGAACGGGTTCTTTGGCTACTCTCCCTCAGACACAGATGCTGAAGTCCCTAACCGACACATACCACAGGGAGTCTTGCCTCCTGGAAAGACCGTTATGTGGTGGTCTAGCTATGCCATTGACGACTGTCCCAATCCCGAAACCATCAATAAAGAAGCCGTAAAACAGGACCTGCAGAAACGACATGGCGACTGGCGAAATCCTGTAATCCAGAAGATCATCAACAGCGTCGAAGTCGAAACAATGTACCCGGTGTGGACAACCCCTGAATTGCCAACATGGGAGCGTAACGGGGTTGTGCTGATTGGAGACGCGGCGCACACCTTACCCCCGACTTCAGGTCAGGGAACATCGCAGGCACTGGAGGATGTAGAGTGTTTCTCGATGTTCTTGGCCTATTATTTGAGCCAAGGATACGACCTTAAATCTCCAACGGAGACGGAGGCGTTGGCGGAAAAGGCTGCTATTTCGCAGACTTCGAAAAAATATATGGAAATCCGCCAGCCGCGGGTTAAGGATATTCTCAACAAGGCGAAACGGATGGAGAATAAGAAGAGAAACTTGACTATTTTTGAAGAATGGATCTTGTACATAGTACTTTTTATCGTTGGTGAGTTGGTTCTCCTTAATCCCCCCTCTCTTGAACCTCGACCGAAAATTGGCTAATATTCCTCCCTTCTCCTGCGATGATAGGCTGCATGCCAACTCTACCTTGGTCGAAAAACTTGTTTGCTTATGACGTTGCGGAAGATGTGAACCGTGTCATCCAGTCAGAGAAACAAAAGAAGCCGGAAAAAGGCAAGATGTAGGACTATCCATGGATATTCAGCGCTTCTCGTGGATTAGATCAGCACCACCACCGTAATTTTATCTTTAATGCTCCTCCCTGTTTCCCTTCTCTGATCTATCCATTATTTGACCCTTCTCCACTCACATACATCGTCAAATGTCCTAGCACATCTCTATTTAATTACATTATACCCTTTTGAATTTTTCTAATTTCATTTTGAACACCCCCTATCCTGCACTTTTTGAAAAATCAAAAATGTACTTGCAAGTAGCAATCCAAATGGTAAAAATGAATATTCACGATGCTCCACCTCTCTCTCTCTCACAATGTGCAAAAGAAAACAATAACAAGAATGAAAATACCTCTGATACCCGTTATTTCCCGCTGTAGTCAATTACACTACATAGCATAAAACCATCGACCTGCAATCCTCGACGAAAACCATATACATCACATCCCGCGACATGGGAATGAGGCAATCATTGAACAAGAAATCAGAATGAAAAGAAAAGCAAAGCAAAGCAATGAAAACATTCATTGTACCATCTCTTTCTCTCTGGTCAGATCATACATCTACATAAACAGACCAAGTAAAACATCACAACATTCATCAGCATTTCTCATTAAAACAAAGAAAATCATAAAACATAAACAAGGGCATAAAGATAAACATAGAAATAATATATAAGGGGAAATGAAAATGAGAAAAGAAACGATGAAAACTCCCAACAGGATCCACCTCCCTGCCATCTACATCCACTCCATTTCCCCATCCACACAGCAGCTCTGTAAAAAAGAAAAAGAAAAGAAAAAGAAAAAATCCTCAGACCGCGCCCCCACCTCTTCCCATTCTCTCAATCGAGCTCATAATCCCACTCCTCCCCGCCGCGGCTGCAGACATCCCACCACTACTCGTCGGCAACCCGGAACTAATAGACTTCCCGCTCCCACTATTTCCTCTAGAATGGCTGGGAGCAGGCATTCCAAACCTCGGAGCCCTAGGAGTTGGACCGCCGGGTGGTCGAATGGCAGATGAGGATGAAGAAGTTTGGATACGGCCAATGTTACTATTGCCGCTAGGGATAGCGTCGTTTTCTAGATTTTGCGTTGGTTTTCCGATGCTATTATCGAATCGTGTGGTGGGTGGCTCATCTTCGGAAAAGGAACGCTGGCGGTAAGTAGGTGGTTCGGGAAGTTTTCGTCTGGGTTGCTGTTGTTGCAGTTGTCGCTGTAGTTCTGCCTGCTCTTCTTGGATCATCTGATCTTCCTCCGCTTGCTCTTGCTGCCGCTGCTCATCATCGCGGTCATGGTGGTTGTGCAGTTGCTGCTGGTTTTGATATTGCTGGATTGCAAGCCACTCATCAACGGCTGCAACAAGTTCACCCTTTTCTGCACGTTCCTGTTTTAGTTCAGATCGAAGGGCTTCACTGTCACGTTTAATAGATATGATCTCCTGTTCTAAGCCCTTGACATGAGCTTCAAGAACCCGCTTGTCTGCCTCAAGCGATTCGGTCTCTCGAATAAATGTAGCCTCTCCGCAGAATCCACCTTCCCCACCAGAAATGTTGGAGTCCTTTTCTGCCCTCAAGCGGTCGTTCTCCTCCAATGCATCCTTCAATTTCCTCTCTGCTTCCCTAACACGCTTCTCCCATCGTGCTTCATAACTCTTTTTGAGAGCAGCGACTTTAGTCTCATGCTTTCCTTTGTAAAGTGTATGTAATTCACGAGCAACCTTTTCAACAGCATCCTGGATTTCTCTGGCTGTTTCTTCAGCGGATTTCTTATCAGCCTCAGTAGGAGGAGAATTTGTTGCATTTCTGGCGGCGGAAAGTTGGCTCTCCAGCTCCACAATTTTGCCTTCCAATTTCTCCTTGCATTTTTCTCCTTCCTCGATTTTCATGTTCAGCCTCTCACGCTCACGCTCTGCATCAACGATTTCATCCCTAACGCTTCTCAAGACTGATTCCATCTCCTTCCCTCTTCGATCCCATTCCTGTTGTTCGGTTTCTCTCCGGGCACACTCGTTTCGCAGTTCCTCGGATACTTCCCCAACTCTGCGTTCCGCATCCGAAACTGACTCTTTTAAACACTTAACTTCGGCATCTCTCCCACTAAGTGTAGCTTTCAGAGAAGATATTTCCGAAAGGAAAGAAGACTTCAAGGATTCTAGCTCTCTAGGAGTAATGCTTGGAATAGACCGAGGAGTGGGAGCAGGGGGGATGTCTAAGTCCAGCAAAGAAAATTTTGACGGGGAGCGAAATCCAGAGGCGGTAGATTTTCCTGGGGAAAATCGAGACTGTCGTCGAGCTGGAGAGTGGTAACCGCCCTGTGCGGCATATGAAGCGCGAGAAAATGCATGGATCTGGTCTGTAAATTCGGTAAAGCTCATATGGCTATCGCGACGGGTGTAGTTTCGTCTAGGTGTTGGTGTTCCTCCATCTTGCTCCGAAAAGATGCCTCTCCTCTTGATTGTGTTAGGGGTGTCGGGCATGTCGTCGGGACATCTGGCGACACGCACATTTTTCTGCGGGCTAACGGATCCTTCTCTTACCCGCTTCATTGGCGAGTCTCGTCTGAGTTGAGCAAAGCTAGTCATATCTAAATTAGGAAGAGCAGAGAAAGTGCTTAGGCATGTATCGTCCTGATCACAAGAGGCGTGGTGCTCGTTCCCACCATGGCTGTCCGCCATGCCGTCATTATCACTTAAGCCACCTTGGTAGATAGTGCTCATACTTTCGTTATTCTTCTCCTGTGTTGTGATGTTGGATTCCTCCCCGTAATTATTGCGGTTGCCATGTGGGTTGAGCATACTCGTATCAGTTTCTGTTTCGTATGTCTCTTGATTGCGACTCTCAATAGGCGGCTGGGTATCGTCGCCATCGTCCATAACATCTTCTTTGATGGCAGGAAGTTCACCCTCTCCATGTAAACTCTCTTCCCTCTCTTCCTCGACACCATGCATAAGCTCCCGACTATCCAACTTCTCTTCATACGGCTCATCCATACCAAAATTCCCTGGTTCAGCTTCTCGAAAGAGAGGCGTGTGGTCACTGAGCACAGTCGACCGAAATGGGGAACTTGCAGGGCCGTCGTGTCCAGCGTTAGAAGGGCTATCCCCGCCGTGGCCAACGCCGACATCACCGTATTCCAAAGGAACAGTGGAATCGTCGTATGTCGAAGGACGCCTGTTCTCATCGCTGTAAAGTGGGCTTTTCATTGAAGGAGTGTTGGCGACATTATCAATCGTTGAGGCTTTGATAGCCGGGGAACCCGGCATTCGCGGAGTATGTGCGCTGGGAGAAAAAGGAGGACGAGAATTCCGCTTAGACGGCGTTAGGACGGATAGAGGGCTGTCCATTGTTTCGGCCATAACTTCTTTTCAAAAGTAAAGGGGAACAAAAAATAAAAGTCTTAGAGGGCCAAACGGCACCTCGTGCGGATTTGCTCTTTTTTTGTATGAACGGCGGCTTCTGAAGCGTTCGCGGTCTTGACTTGGAAGTGAGGATGTGGGAAAGCAAAGGTAGTCAAAACCAATATGCTCGCAAATTGTAAGCTTGGATATAATTGCTCTACAAGTTAATGTAGCAGAGGAAAATTATGGCTGTTTCGTCTCATCCAGCCAAAACTTGGTGGTGAGAGATTGACAACTGAATGTTTGCGATGGTCGTTGCTGTGGCATTGTTCTGGGGAGCAACGGATGTAAATAAAGCTAAACTACATATGGTCTAGCATGATTATATCACATGATATTAGCGTTAAGTTGAGAATGATAGAATTATTTTATTCAGCTAGATACTACGGGGAAAGAAAATCAATAATAATATCAATTGGAGTAATTGGATTGGGAGAGTGTAGTGTACTGTAACCCCGTATTAAAACCAAATCACGTAAAGCGTGAACAATTCTCCCAAAAAAAAAAAAAAAGTGTATGATAAAATAAAATCAATTGCCTCGCAAGAGTATCAAATCCAACATATAAAGTAGAGATTGAAAAAACGGAAGAAAACAAAACTAGCCATCACCCATAGACACATTATTTATAATACTCTTTATGGGGGAATAATAATAATAGTATAACCATATGTCACTTGATCCATCACCCGCAAGGAGTAAAGTAACGCCACCAGTAAAAGGCAAGAAGCACGGCAGAAGGACAGGTAGGGGGCAATTTCAACCCAATTCACGAGGCTAAATAAGCAAGCGTAACCTAAGGGAAAATCAAAGCCCGCTAAGCGTTATCATGAACAGTAACATGGACAATCTCGGGGATTAATGGCTCTTCCTCCTCCCCATGATGAGGGTGATGAAGAAAGACATCCGGCGCCGTAACCGACACGGTCGTGTGCTTCTTGCCCTGCATGAAGTATAGCTGACAAGCTCCCACAATAGCAACAATCGCACTACCCCACCATGCGAGGCCAGTGAATTCGATTTTCGAGCCAATGCTATAAAGATACCCGGCAACCGGCGGCGCAACTGTTCGACACGCTGCGCCGGCGGAAGCGGCGAGACCGTTAATTTTACCGATCACGGAGTGTGACGGACTGGCTTGTTTGATGAGGATCAATAGGACTGGATAGTCTAGGATGGAGAATATGTTGCGGATCGTCAGGCAAATATATATCCCAGGGAAAAGTAGGATTTGCGGGAGGAAGGCCAAGAAGGGGACGATGAAGTATGCGATTGGGTGTAGGACGGTAACCAGCACGAAGACGTTCCATACGCCCAGCCACTCTGCTAGGAGTGGGAAGAGTATGGCTTGGATTAGAAGGGCGATTATACCGTTGACGGCCATGATTAGTCCGACTGTTTGAACTGGAAGGCCCAGGCCGCCGGGGATGTTGAATGGTGATTTTAAGATTGTGGAGGCTGTTCCGGATCTTTCATCTTGGAGGAATATAGGTAGTAGATGATCGTACGTCATGGAATGATAGGTGAATATCCCCAATGCGATCACAAGCATGGTGACGCGGTACGTGAAGACCTTAGGTTCTTCAGCAGCAGAACTTTCGAGGGATTTTCCGTCCGGCTCAACATCCCATTCTTCGTCATTGTGCATTTCCACGTCGTTAAAAGTACCATATGATTTCGCGCGCAGATCAGCTGAGGCGTGAGCTGTAGAGCCAGTTGTAGCCACTGCGCCCAGTGGTACCCCAAATTCCTCCTCGTCATGTGGATGTTCGACAGCCGCTGCGCCCCTGAGTAGGTCGGGATGTGTCTCTTCCAAGAACAAATACCCTGCTATGATACTCATGAGCTGCAACAACGCGCAAATAATGTTGGGGAGAAGGTAAGGAAAAATGCCAAAAATTCCAGAATGGGAGAATACATCCGGGAAGGAGTCAGCGGGTCTTGCGAAGTAGCCTCCGATTGCTACAGGAATGGTAGATCAGTATTCAAGCATTCACACGCAATGGAGATAGGATTATGCGGATATAAAATTTACCTGGGCCGATAATAGTGCCGATAGACCAGACAAATGGCATAACCGCGTAGGCACGGGCTGTGGGAAACAATAAGTTAGACGTAAAAGAACATGTCACGAGCTGGATAGGTTGAAGGAAAATCGTACGTTCATGTTCTGGCTTCTTGACCAACTCTCCCACCATTGTCTGGATCACGCCTATATTCCCATTCAAAATTCCACCGATGACCCTACCAAGTAGTGCTACCCAAAAACTAGTGGAAAACCCGACTATAAGCAGAGAGAGCATGGTACCTACGCAGCCGAAGAGCAGGATTGGCTTGCGGCCAACTCTATCAGACAGCCCACCCCAGAACATGCCTGTCAAGCTCTCCGACAGAGCA